TGCAAATACAAGCCGGATGTGAGTTCCAGCTGGCATCTGAGTGCAATAGAATGATCCTGCTGCTTCCCATGCTAACTGCTCTGAATACAACCACACCAAAACCCCATAGGTACACATTTGGGGCCTGCCTGGCCCTGCTACTGTCGCCACTCTGCAGTTGTAGTGTGAGAACCATAGGCCTAACTCATAAGTGTGAATGTAGCCTTAGTTGCATAGTAGTTACTTCCGGTTTTCTTCCTAAGTTTTTTCCCATCCACATGAAGAATACATTTTGTCATGCATCAAAGCATGTATGGATATGCATCACTAGTAAAACACATGGTGCTGGCTATGAATGTGCTGCTAATAAGGTGAGCGGCATTTGACTCTCTCCTGGGTGGCTGCCCAAGCACTCAGCTTACAGGAAACTCTGATCACTTCCCAATTGTAGACTACAGAAACTGCACTGCACACTGTCAGAACGTACATTTAATTCCAGTTTATCCCCCTAGCTAGACTAAGGCATCTAATCCAGTGATCCTAGCAAAGTAAACCAGGAGTCAGACTCCTGACATCAATGATTCCCTGTTTCGCTCTCATTCACTTGGTCTAGATCTGTAGCATTCACACTGTAGTAGGAGCTTTGTACAAGTGACTTAACCCCACTGTTTCAATTTACCCACTGGTAAGGTAGGTTGTCACTCACTTGCCTGACAAGCGTGTTAGATGACAAAGTGCTCTGAGACAATGCTATAAAAGCCACTGGAACAATGAACATTTTTAATCTTCCAATTGTTTCATAGGCCGGCTTTCCTGAAGGATGCCGAGAACTTCACCATTTTAGTGAAGAACAATATCTGGTACCCTAAGTTCAACTTCACCAAGTAAGTATCTCTAAAGGTGTGAGGGTGATCACTTGAGCTGGTGCTCTGCTGAAGAGTGTGTAGAGAATCTATCTCGGTGAGGGGCTGGGATGGATGGGTGCTGTAACATGTCTCTTGTCTCCTCTTCTGTGCTGCTTCAGGCGAAATATTCTGCCCTCTATCAGTACCACTTACCTCAAGACCTGCATTTATGACCCGAAAACAGATCCCTTCTGCCCCATCTTCCGAGTCCGCCAATTTTCAGGAGATGGCTGTTGAGGTTTGTGGCAATTCTGGCCTCATCCAGGTCAGGTCCACGTTATATGCTTCCCTTGGTATAGCATCATCACACAGGGTATGGAAAATCCACACTCCTGAGCAGCGCAGTTACACCAACCTAACCCCTGGTGACGACAACTCTATGTCCATGGCAAGGCTTCTGCCAGTGTCTTGGCTACCACCTCTAAGAGGAGGATTTACTAAGCTAGAGTAGAATGGGGCCTTCACTTCAGTACACCAGTGGCACAGCTGCAGGCTTTGGGGGAAGGAGGGTGGTGTGTGTTGCTATTACTCAGCCTCTTTAATTGCCTCAGAACATAAAACTGGATCGTGTGGCACATGCTGCCTTAGCAGCCGTTAAGCCATCTAAGTGGGAGCCTTTTTTTCTGGGCCAAAGGGAAAACTTTACCTTGTAAATATTTATCTTCCCTTCTGTTTGTTTTGTGTGGTGTCTGCTGAATGAGACCTTGCTCACAATACTGCAGAGGTGAAGTAAAGCTGGTAAACACTTCAGCTGGCCTATGGCCCTGTGTACTGCTTCCAGTGGGAAGGGTTGGTGTACCCAAGAGAGAACTGAAGTCTTGCGTTTTCAATGGAGGACACCACGTAAAAGTAGTTTTGGGTTGGTGGTTTTTAATAAACTGGATCCTCGTGCTTTGCTAACTTTCTTATAGGCTGGGGAGCAGCTTATTTTAGGGGTACAAAGTTGGGACATTCAGTTCAGGGGTGATGTGAATGAAATTTTCACAAATGGATATGAGCATAAACATAGCAGGGCATCCAACAGGATGTGAAGCAAATTCTTGAAATGTGCCTAAAACCAGATGTGCTCTGCTCTCTAAACTAGTGTCCTGGTCAACACTCTGCAATCCCTGTGAAAGATTGACCACCAATTGTAAGCAATCCCCTTCTGACATCCTTTGTGTGTGTTTATGCTGTGCAGGGTGGAGTAATGGGTGTGCAGATCAACTGGAACTGTGATCTCGACAAACCTGCTTCTCACTGTGTGCCAAAATATAGCTTCCGTCGTCTTGACAACAAGGATTCTGACCACACTGTTTCACCTGGCTATAATTTCAGGTAACGCCATTGGGTAATGGAGCTTGTGGTGTACTTATGACCCCTCATGAACAGTCTCGGGGTAGCTGTTAGTCTAACTAAAAAAAGTTAAAAGGCAATGGCCCTGTAGTAAGCATCACAACCTGACTCCCAAGGACCCATGTAGTTGAATTAATAATGTGAAATGGTCCCATAGCACCTTAGAGTAACAAATATAGAAATAGTATCATGAGCTTTTGTGGGCCTGACCCACTGGGTTGATACTATTGATATATTTTTGTTACTCTCCTAAGGTGCTATGGGACCACTTCACATCATTAGTACAACTACATGGGTTCTTGGGAGCCACGTTGTGATGCTTATTAATGTTATGATCTAGCTAACAAGCCAACTTGTCTTAAGACCACCTAAGATTCCTCTTTAGTGGACCAGACCCTCAGCTGCTAAAAATCAGTGGAGCAGTGCTGAAGTCAGTGTAGATATCGTGACTTAGTTTAACTTGCATTGAATCCTGTTTGAAGCAATGCAGCTCATGGAAATAGGGCAGCCATCCCATAATGTTTCATAGCAGGTTAGCGTGCCCAGAGGATTGGTACATGGGACAGTGAACTCTGGCATCCCCTGTTTAGAGTTTGGGTGCAGGGAACTAAAGTGCACCTGGCTACAAAGGTACAGCTGGATGATGTTTCATTCTGGTTACAAGATGATGACCAAACCCAGGTCTACACTAGGAACATGTAGCCTGGCAAAGCACTCCTACTGTGGCTGCAACTGGGAGAGCTCACAACAGAACATGTGGCTTATTTCAGTTGCTTCTCCCTTCCTTTGCACCCCCCTTCCTCCTCCCCCTCCCCCCCCCAGATTTGCCAGTATAGTTGCTCCCACTCCAGGGATGTTTAGCAGTATAGCTATTGGCAGGGCTCAACAATCTATGTAATCTACTCGCCCGTGGTGAGTAGATTACATCCCAGAAGAGCCGGGTTCAGGCGATCTGAACATGCACTGGGCGATCTGCGCATGTGCAGCTGGCGAGCAGGACTCAGCAAGCCCTGGCTATTGGTTAGATCACATCCCCAGCCCTGGATGGAAGGCAGCTTAAGCCACTTGTAAGAGCCATGTATGGCTGCCAACCACAGTTACAGCACTAACCATAAGGTGTGTAGTGTTTATTATGTCACTTGGGTTACTAACACTCCAGCCAATGTAGAAGGGGCGTGTCTGGTAGAACTTGAAAATTTGTGAATCTTAAAATTCTAGCATAACGTCTACTGCTAAAGACTAATGGGACAATATCTTTTTATATAGAGGTATTTTATGTAAATAGAAGACAGAGTGGTACATCTGAAGTTTGTCACTGGGAGGCTGCTTTGTTGTGAAAAGCTGATAGTATATGTATGAACAAATACTAAGGCCTGGTCTACCATAAAGGGGCAGATCAAATTAAGATATGTAACTCCAGCTATGTTAATTATGTAGCTGGAGTTGAAGTACCTTAATTCAAGTTTCTGCACTGTGGGAGGTTTGGTCCCGTTGACTTCCCTTACTTGTCATAGGAGTACTGGCACCGACAGGGATGCCCTCTGAGTTTGATTTAATGGGTCTTCACTAGAACCACTAAATTGAACTCCAGAAGATCGAACATGGGCATGTCTGTGTTCCCCACAGTGACGATATGGTCTAAGAAGCCTACAGGCCTCTAGATCTAGCAAATCGCAGGGTCTGTCAGACTTATTACATTAGCCTATTTGATTAGAATGGGCTGGTCCAACTGCAGAATGTAAGCTGACTCTTAACGTTCTGTGTGCTTACTATGGGGGGGAAAAAACATGTAGCCAAATAGCAGTCATTCCTCTTCTCTTCCATGTTCTTTCCTTTTGAAGCAGCAAATCACATGGCAAAGTAAGTCTGATCTCCCTCTTTCTCCCCTATTAACGCAGTTCATGACATGCTACTTGTTGCATGCACAAAGATAATGACTTCTGTGAGTGCAATCTTGTAGTTCAAGTACTGTCACTAAACAAGTCCCATCCTTGACAGTCAAGTTTGAAGTACTATCTGTTCCCTTTGGCAAATCACATACCTGCAAAAATCCTCTCTTCCCCCATCACTGTGTAACTTGGTGGATCCTTTGACTGGCTCTGCTATAAATCTGTAAAACTAAAATCCTCTCTATTCCCATTTTGTCCATTGGAAACTTACATTTCTCATCTGAAATACCTCTTGCAGTAGTCAAATGTATCCACGATTGGTTATAAAGAGCAGCAGCCAACAAAATGAAATCCAGCAAAGTGATTAGTGGTAACTTAATTGTTAATGTCTTGCTTAACTTCACTACTCAATGAATTTCTCCCATTCCTCCCCTTCCTGTGCTTGAGAGTTTTTCTTAATCCATCTACTAACTACTTCTGTCTAAGCACATTGCATGATGAGTAATTGTGAACAGTGCATTTTAATGTACTTGTAGTAATACAAGCTCATCTGTATGTTTAACTGTGGGATCAGGGCAGGTGGGGAAGTAAGCTCTAAATATTCTTAAGATTCTGAAACACTTGTTTTTCAGGTTTGCGAAATACTACAGGGACACAAGTGGTACTGACTCGCGGACATTAATTAAGGCTTATGGCATCCGGTTTGATATCATGGTGTTTGGAAAGGTAGCTCTTTGTTTCTTGAACAGTCTTATGACTGACTTCTTTTTTTATTAGCCTCTAAGTGGTTTAAAAGTCTCTGCAAAAATGCTCACCCTTGTAATTTTTGTCTGTTAGGCAGGAAAATTTGATATAATTCCCACAATGATTAACGTTGGCTCTGGGCTAGCACTGTTTGGGGTGGTAAGTTACACTGGCTCCATGGAGACAGATTTTTAAGCTAAAATCCATTTGCCTTGAGATAAGAACAGTTACAAGATCTCTTTGATTTCAACTAGGCAACAGTCCTGTGTGATATTGTAGTCCTCTACTTCATGAAGAAGAGATATTACTACAGAGAGAAGAAATACAAATATGTGGAAGATTATGAACTGGTAAGCAGCGCTTGGCTCTTTATAGTTAGTTGCAGCCAAACTTATCCCACCTCCTCCAAAGATTGTGGTTTGTCCATAGATATGTCAATCATAATCTGTAGCCTAATGACCACTAAGTTAGCTGTGTCTAGATCCCAAATGCATTGTTTCATAGGGGTGAGAATGGAGAAAGACAGGACTTCCCAAAGGAGCCAATTTTATGTATTGGTGGAATCCAAACCTTAGGAACCAATGCCTGTCTTCCATGAAGACAATCTTGCTCCTGCTGCAAGGGTGGGAGAAACTTCAGCCTGCTCTCATTGTATCTCAATCCTGACCTGTAACTGCAGGCACCTGCCTCTTGTGAGCAGAAGATGTTGGGGTAAAGACCAAAGTTCCTCTTCCCCAAAACTTTCCACTGCTGACTTACGGGTGCTGCTGCTTTGAAAAGTGATTTTAAAAAAAAATTCCTGCAGCTCTGGACTCGCATGTCAGTATCTGTTTGCACCTGATGTTCACTTTCAGCACAACAAAAGGTTCTGAGACCTACATACAGGCAGTCCCCAGGTTATGTACAAGATAGGGACTGTAGGTTTGTTCTTAAGTTGAATTTGTACATAAGTCGGAACTGGCGTCCAGATTCAGCCGCTGCTGAAACTGACCAGCGGTTGACTACAGGAAGCCCGAGGCAGTTTCTCTGCCCCAGGCTTCCTGGAATCAGCCACTGATCAGTTTCAGCAGTGGCTGAATCTGGACTCCTGGAACAGAGCAGCTGGGGCGCTGCCGGATAGGTCCCCGCAGCGCCGCACCTCGGCGATGAGGGGACCAACCTGGCAGCACCCCAGCTGCTCTACCCCAGGGGTCCCCAAGTCAGCTGCTGCTGAAACTGACCAGCGGCTGACTACAGGAAGCCCAGGGCAGAGCAACTCTGTCTCCGGCTTCCTGTAGGCAGGCGCCGAGAAAAGCCCCGTTCGTAAGTACGGATCCGACTTAAGTCGGATCCGCGTCACTTGGGGACTGCCTGTATAAGAGGGCAGGTCCTGGAGTCTTTATTCTCCAAGAGCATGTCTGCTCTCCTGCTGCTTGACTTTGGTTGGAAATGCTTATGCGTACACTGTGAAGAGCCACAATTGTCCTTTACACTTGAGTAGATCAATCAATAGCTGTATGGTGCAGCTTTCTTGGGAGAAGGTTCCTTTTTCAGCTAACTAATTCAAGGCAGGATTCCAATACTGACCTCCAGAAGTGAGAAGTTACTGCCCTTCCTAACCTAGGGTCTGGCCATCCTGCTCTCTCTGCAAGCATAGCTTATACCTTCTGCCCTCTCTTCTTTTTAAAGGGGGTCAATAATACATATGGAACACAATCGTGATGTCGTTGGTGCTGCAGCATCAACTGTCCAACCTGAAGAGCTGCCGTGAATACTATTCTTCCTCATGGAGAGACAGTAAGATGCTGCTGCAGGCTTTCCTTCCTGGAACTGAGTGAATAAATCTGTATTCTGAGGAGGAAGAGAAAATCAAACCACTACATTCTTCCTCTATCATTGGCTAACAATTTTTTCTCTATGGAATTCTATCCACTGTAAACAAATGTAGACATCAAGACTTGCCTTGAGACACTTTCCATGAAAGTTTGACATAAGTCTTTCCCCCTCTCCCTCTTCTAGAGACTAACTTCCTGTATCCCCGTATTCTCTACAAAGCCTCCTGGAGGGATCAGTCACCCAGAGCTTGCTCTTTGCTAGGGTCATGGACAACTGGGCCAGAATGGGCACAGATTAGCCAGATTGTCAGACAGTAGAATGAGATGAGTGGGAGAGAGATGAGCCCTTTCCCAGCTGTAGTGAATCTGGTTGCTAATCTTCCTATCAGCCCTCGATCATCTAACTATATGCTGCAGCAGTAAAATGCATTTCCTTAATGTGAGGGAAAATCAACATCTAACCTTCAGGTTACCCATCATGTATCGAAGATTCAAGAGCCCAAGGTGTGAGATGAAGTTCTCTGCAGGACTCCTGTATTCAAGTAAGCGGCTGATGTATCTAGACTTATTTTCTGCATACGTCTTAAAATTCAGCATGCGTAATGAAGAACAAGGATGACAACACTGACAGTATTTCACACTGAGGGGAACGGCCAATATTCCAACCACAGGGGTTAGTGATATTGAATAGAAGAAAGTTTGTGACATGCTCTAAGAGGAGATTCTGATTTTTTTTTTTTTAATAAATCAATAAAGCCCTTACAACTGTCAGGGTGGCCTCTTTAATTAGAAGTGCTGCTGTGAGTGAGACCAGGGCAGAACTGGAGTATTTTCACCAGATCATGACACTGATGGAAAAGAGAAGGTTACTCACCTTGATAATAACTGTCGTCCTTTGAGACGAGTAATCCCGGGGGTGCTCCTCATTAGGTCGGTACACTGCCTCAGAGTGGAGATTTCATAGCAGTGTCCCCAGGAGCCGTGTGCTGATAGGCTGCAGGCATTGTGCATGTGCAAGCCCCCACTCCTGCTCCTCAGTTCCTTCTCTACCCTGAAACAATAGCTTGAAGGCCAGGATCCTCGAGTAGAGAGGAGGAAGTGAGGGTTGTGAAGCACCCACGGGGACACTCCTCTCAAACATCAGTTATGATCAAGGTGAGTAAACTTCTCTTCAAGTGATGTCTCTATGGGTGCTCCATATTAGGTGGCTACAAAGCTATTTCCCTTTAGTGAAGTAAGGACTTCGGATCTGGCAGAAAAGCGGTAACAAGAACTACCTTAGCACGTTTCAGGTTGGAAAGAGGCCCCTAGGTAAGTGCATAGTGCTTTGCAAACTTGTGGCTGGAGGACCATGTAGCAGCTGTGCAAATGTCTCTTGGGGGTTGGGTACTTTGTGGAGGAATGCTTTTGAGGTAGCTATGGCTCTGTTTGAATGTGCCCTTATGCTATCTGGAAGGGGTATGTCTGACTGCATGGCAAAGCTTTATGCAATCTGAAATAGCCTGGCCCCTTCAGTGGTTTGCTATTGAAACATAGGCTGGGGGAGGACACCTGGGATGGTCTTATTCATTGCAGGTAAAGAGAGAGCACTCTGTGCAGGTCAAGGGTGTGCATTTTCATCTCAAGAGTGGGCTTGTGGTTTGGGGAAGAAGGTGGGAAGATGAGTGTACTTTGGGATGGGTACGGAAAGTGACATTGCCTTTAAAGAAGATGATATATGGGGGATGTGTCATTAGGGCTGCAATCTCTCCTACCCAACTGGCCAAGGGAATAACCAGGGCTCAACAATTGCAGCAAAAACCACTCGCCAGCCCTGCACTGCACATGCACGAGACCTGCACACTGCATGTGCAAACCACCGGTGAACGGGGCGACCAGCTGAAATCTACTCGTCCTGGGCAAGTAGATAAGCAGATTTGTCCAGTCCTGGTAATAGCTATGAGTTTTCATGGACAAGTGTAATAATGATGTGATGGCCTAGTTAGAGCATTCAATACTAAGTGCAGGTCCCTCAGTTCCATGCGTGGATTGATATCTGGATAAAGTGCCTGCAGGCCCTCTAAAACTCTTGATGAGTGGATGAGCAAATATGGACAAGTCATCCGTCTTAGAGTGGAATGTAGTAATAGCAGCAAGGTGAACCTTAATGGAGCTTATGGCAAGATCCGCTTCAAGGTGTAGAAGATAGCCAAGGATGACAGTTAGGGAGGATGTTGAAGCAACCACTGGTGATAAGCACACCACATTGAATCTTTTCCATTTCTGGAGGCAAGTCCTGCAGGCGCTTTACACCCTACTGTGCAGAAGAACCATTTGTACTTGCTGTGAATAGGTCAACTCTTAAGACAGAGAATCATCCAGGAGCCATGCCTTTAGGTGTAGTGAGTGGAGGTTCAGTTAGCTGTCATGGGAGCCTGGGCAAAGGGGATCCCTGATGCAAGGTAAGCAGATTGTTGGAGCGTGAGACACTGCCACTAGGAAGGGGAGCTATGGCTGTTGTGGTCATGCCAATGCTATAAGTATGAGGGAGGGACCGGGCTCATCTATCGTGTGAACTACTTTGTTCAATGGGGTATAAGAGGAAACTTGGACATCCCACCTATTCTACATGCGATGTGGAAGGCATCTCCCTTTAATCCCTTGCCTATTCCCATGGTGGAGCAGAATAGGAGGCTTGGACAGGGCATCGCCGCCCCACACTCTAGACCCCCGGCTGCGGGGCTGCGTGCGACACAGGAGACCGGATACTGGCGCTGCGCTGGCTGTTTGCTTGCTGCCGAGCAGGCACGCTGCAACAAGGCGCCTCATGGTGGCAACAGCAAGGGAGGGGGAGGAGGAAGCAGAGAGACAGCGTGAGCTGATGCTGGTGCCAGAGGCACGCTGGGAAAGCTGGGGGGCTGCTGTGGCACAGCTGAGTTAGCCTCAGCCCCGCCGGCGAGACAAGGCAGAATGATGCGCCGTGTCGGACGTCAGGGGGGCGGGACACGTAAACCCCTCCCGGGTTGGCGGGAACTTTAAAAGCCCGCCAGACACCGGAGAGAGTGGGTGGGGGAAAGTTGAGGAGAGCGCCCAGGCTCCCCGAGGAGTGGAGAGACCCGGACACACTCGTGGCAGTCTCCCCAGGGGGATCCGACGCTGTGAGTACAGACACCCTGAAGACGGGGTGGGGGAGGAAGGAAGTAGCCCAGGGCAGGGCGGTGAAGTAGCCCGTGGGCTGGTGCTTTTAGGGGCACACCCTGCCAGCCGGACAGAGACTAGAGCGCAGTCTCTGTCCTTAGGGCCATGGGCTGGGGCCCATGAGTGAGGGTGGGCCTGGGCCCCCTTCTCCCCACCATAACCATAGCTTGGTGGCTGGACCAAGAACTGTTGCTTCCGGCTGCAGGGAGAGAACCAAGTGCCACTAACTGGGCCAAAGTCTCATGGAACACAGACTCAGAGTGAGGTGGAGGGACTTTAGCAACTATGTTAATAAGGGGTCAATAAACAGACCAGGGCACGAGTGGTGGAGAATATGGATATGAAACCCAGCCCTTGAAGTAGGGGAACCAAACGGGCAGGCATGAGAAGCCCTGCCCGGACTCCAAAAAAAGAGAGAGAAAGGGGGGCAGACAGGACATACGCTTGTAGCTCCCAGTGCCTGTTTGTTACACTGCCCAGTATTCCCAGTCTGAGGTGAGCGGAACCAGAGATGGAGCCTGCAAAAATGTTGGCGTGGCGGGGGGAGAGTCAAAGCAACAGCAGCGCCCCTCTTGACCCAGCAGCTCTCGTACTAGCACCAGGAGCAACAGAGACAACGCAAAACCAAACCCAGCAAGCACACTGGATACAGCAACCAAGGAAGCTCTGTGACACTGAGTGAGGGAGATGAGGCAGGGGGGCCCCCACAGCTACCGATACGCCTGTGGAAAATGGGCCCCACAGATGACACCGAATCCTTCCTAACCACATTCGAAAGGATAGCCATGGCGACACAATGGCCCGACGACCAATGGGCCACCATACTAGACCCTTACTTGACAAGCCCCTCCCAATTGACCTCCCAAAGCTTGAGCTCGCAGGATGTGTTACACTATTTCAAAGTTAAAGAGGCGATCTTAGATCAACTGGGAATAGCCCCCAAAACAGACAGAAATTTAGGCGAGAACGCTATATACCCGGAGAGAGGCCTTGAGTGATAGCTCAGCGGCTGAGAGAAGTGGGGTGGCACTGGCTAGAACCTGACCAGAGCCCAGGTGGCCAAACTGGTAATACTAGAGCAATTCCTGAACCTATTGCCTAGTGAGCGACAGCGATGGGTACAGAGGCAGCACCTCTCCACCTTGAATTAGGCTGCCGAAGGAATAGGGAAGGTGAGGGCCCTCCCAAGGGAAGAGCCCCCCCCCAGGGTTATAAGGCCAAGGAGGGACCCTGAGGGGGGCTGGGTACGAGGAGGGGGAAGAGCAAGGAGGACACCTCCTGTTAAGGGACAGGAAAGAGGGTGAGGGGAGGGGTATGGACACAAAGGGAATAAGGTAGCCTTTTTCAATTATAACCTCTGATAGATGGGTCCTGAAGATATGCTGCCAGTTGAAGAGCAGCAGCAATCGATGATGGACCAGGTTTGCTTATGTCAATGGTGTTGGAATAGGTGAGAGGCTCTCCAGACCCTCTACCTGATGATCAAATTTGCTGCTTGTACGTCTGTGACTTTTGGGAATTGGTAGAAGAAGGGCGGCACCATTGATTTCTGCCTCTGCTCTGTTGCAGCTGGTCTTGTCTATTGTAATGTTGTGCATATGGAAGGTATCGGTCTCAGTCTCAGGTAGAGCTGATACTTATATTGCTGCCTTCTACATGCTTGGTTGTGGATCCCCAAAGACCGAAGTGTCGCTCTGGAATCTTTCATGGAGTGAAGAATTTAGTTGGTGTTAGCTACAAACATCTTCTGACCATTGAAAGGCAGATATTCCACTGTAGATTGAACCTCCCTGGGGAATGGAGTGGAGCTAAACCATGACACCCTTCCATGTCGGCTGCATCTAATGTGTCCTGTAATGCTTTTCTTGCAATTGTGACCCTTGGATACCAATGCTTTGTAGTGTTGCCTCTTAGCTTCGGGAATATCTGCAACAAAACTGTTCAGTTTGTACCTTCTGTAATCTTATTTGCCCAATAAAGCTGCATAATTCAAAATACAAAATTGTAAAGTAGATGTATAATCTTGCACCCAAATTTGTCAAGCATTTGGCTATCACGGTCCGATGGTGTAGACCTGTATTGCTGCTGTTTGGATTCTTGTTGTGCAGCTTCCACCATGAGGGAATTAGGTGCTGGGTTAGAGAAATTCAGAACCCTTAGGTGGGACATAATATTTCTTATCAGTTCTCTTAACAGTAGAAGAGATTGATGCCGTATTTTGCCACACTGTTTCTGCCGGTTCCATTATTGCTGGATTAATTGGTGATGCTATTTTAGATGGTGTTACCGAGTGCAATATGTCAGTAAGCTTGTGCTGATTTTCCACAACTTCTTGAAGAGGAATGTTTAATTCATCAGCTACACATTTAAAAAGGTCTTGGAAATGTGCAGCATCTGCAGTTGAAGCTGGGACCAGAGACCCTTCCTCAGCTGGTGGGGGGGAATGTCATTTTGGTCAGGAGGGGGTGCTGCCTCCCTTGTGAGTGGGCCCCCATCTTGTATTGGGAAGGGGGGTATTGCCCTCTGTGGTTTCCAGCCATGCTGGTGTTTCTGATGATATTGTCATTTGTTCCAGTATTGCCAGTAGCGGAAAGGCTCAGGTGGAGGTACTCATAGATTGCCATAATATGGAGGCATGTTCTCAAATCTGGAAGAGTAAATACTCGGAGCTGTGTAAGGAAAATTCTCTGGTGCAAAAACCCCTAGAGAAGTCATCAGATTCAGATAAAAATCTTTCCTCAAAGTGATCTCTAACATTGCATGAGCGCCCTCGGGGTCTAAAAATGGTGAGTTAAAAGTAAAGGAGACTAAGTCTCTGTGTTGGGTGTGCTGCCCACCGGGTGCTGTTGGTGCCATAGTGGGAGGCACAGAGGCTGAGGTGCTGAATCAAGCCTCAGTGCCAAAGGCAGTCGTGCGGCATCAGGCACCTCTGTGGTGAAGGCAGAAGCGCCTGAGAACATGGTCGGTGCTGCACTCATGCTGCATTGGCAAGATCGTATCAGTGCTGGATGGTGCTGCAGCCAGTGAGGCAGGCAACTTGAAGCCTGTCACCTCAGAGTGCAATTTAGCACATACCTACTGTTTGTCTCCGCTGGGGGCTCCAGAGACGCCACCGGTGTCATACACGCTGAGGCACGGTGCGGCTGGCTCTTGGCAATGGCCATGAGGGAGACAGCTGTTTCGGTGCTGTAGGCCCTTGAGATGCTGAAGATGGCTTTCTGGCAGACTTTTTGGATCCCCGCTGCTGGAGATCCTTGGGCTGCTGGCCTGGATCAGAGGCTGGTCTAAGCAAGTTTTCCAATAAAAACTTGAGCTGGAAGTCTTGGTTTTTCTGCACCAGCTATTTTTAGCTTTGCATAATGAGGGCATTTCTGAGAGAGATGCTGCTCTGAGGCAGCGGATGCATTGAGAATGACCATCTGATATTGGGATAGGCTCTTTACATAAGGTGCAATGCTTCAACCCCGGTGAGCCAGGCATGCCTATGGAAGCAGGATGGGATTAACTGGGAGAAAAAAACCCTTATACTAATTAACTATTAAAATTGTAGTAGTTATAGTTAGTGAGTTTAACTGGCTTTAAGTATAATAGAGATGCAAAGAAGCGAGGGAGCATTGCTGAGTCCACCTGTAGCTGGAGGTGGTAGAGAAGGAACTGAGTTGTGCGGGGATGGGAGGAGGGCTCATGCATGCACAATGCCTGCAGCCTAGCAGTGTACAGCTGCTGATGAGCACATGCGCAGCCCTAGGGACATGGCTATGAAATTTCCACTCTGAGGCTTGGCAGCGGTGCACTGGCCAACCTAATATGGAGCACCCACAGGGCCCTCTCTCAAAGAAGCCCTTTTCCTGTCTTGGTGCTAGAGTTGAGGTGGACACTGCCTAGAGGAGGCAGCAGACTGACTTCTCCAGATATGAACCCAAGGAGCAATGCTTGGAGTTAAGAAAATAAGAAAGGCCATAGTGGGTCAGATCAAAGGTCCATCTAGCCCACTATCCTATCTGCCGACAATGGCCAATACCAGATGACCCAAAGGGAGGGATCACAACAGGTGACTCCCATCACCCACCTCCAGACAAACAGAGGCCAAGGACACCATTCCTACCCAACCTGGCTAATAGCCATTGATGGACCAAACCTCCATGAATCTATCTAGCTCTTTTTTGAACCCTGTTAAAGTTGTAGCCTTCACCACATCCTCTGGCAAGGAGTTCCAGAGTGACTATGCTGCGTGAAGAAAAACTTCCTTGTTTTAAACCTGCTGCCTATTAATTTCATTTGGTGACCACTAATTCTTATATTGTGGGCATAAGTAAATAACTTTTCCTTATTTACCTTCTTCATACCAGACCTTTATTGTATCCGCCCATTAGTCTCCTCTTTTCTAAGCCAAAAAGCCCAAGTCTTTTTAATCTTTGTTCATATGGGACCTGTTCCAAACCCCTACTCATTTTTGTTGCCCTTTTCTGAACCTTTTCCAGTGTCATCCTTTTTTGAGATGAGATGACCATATCTGTACACAGTATTCAAGATGTGAGCATACCATGGCTTTATATAGAGGCAATACGATTTTCTGTCTTGTTCTCTTTTTTTAATGATTCCTAACATTGTGTTTGTTTTTTTGACTGCCACTGCACACTCAATGGATGTCTTCAGACAACTTATCCACAATGACTCCAAAACCTCTTTTGAGTAGTTGCTGTAGCCAAATTAGTCCCCATCATATTGTATGTATAGTTGGGATTATTTTTTCCAATGTGCATTACTTTGCATTTATCAAATTTCATTTGCCATTTTGTTGCCCGATCACTTAGTCTGAAATCTTTTTGAAGCTTTTCAGTCTGCTTTAGTCTTAACTATCTTGAGCTGTTTGGTATCATCTGCAAATTTTGCCACCTCACTGTTTACTCCTTTCTCTAGATCATTTATAAATAAGTTGAATAGGATGGGTCCCAGGACAGACCTCTGGGGGACACCTCTAGTTACCTCTCTCCACTCTGAAAAGTTACCATTTATTCCTACCCTTTGTTTCCTAACTAATTATCAATCCATAAAGGACCTTCCCTCTTATCCCATGACAATTTACTTAGAGCCTTTGGTGAGGGATCTTGTCAAGGCCTTCTGGAAATCTAAGTACACTATATCCACTGGATCCCCCTTGTCCACATGTTTGATCCCCTCAAAGAACTTAGTAAGGCATGATTTCCCTGTACAGACACCAGACACCAACAAATTATGTTCATTTATGTGTCTGGCAATTTTATCGTTTACTATAGTTTCAACTAATTTGCCCAGTACTGATGTTAGACTTACCAGTCTGTAATTTCCAGGATCACCTTTAGAGTTCTTTTTAAATATTGGCTTCATGTTAGCTGTCTTCCTGTCATTAGGTATGGACGCTGCTTTAAAGGATAGGTTACAAAGCACAGTTAATAGTTACGCAATTTCCCATTGAGTTCGAACTCTTGGGTGAATCGCATCTCGTCCCGGTGACTTGTTACTATTAAGTTTATCAGTTTGTTCCAAAACCTTGTCTAATGACACCTCAATCTGGGACAATTCCTCCAATCTGTCACCTAAAAAGAATGGCTCAGGTTTGGGAACCTCCCCGATATCCCCAGCTGTGAAGACTGAAGCAAAGAATTGATTCAGCTTCTCTGCAAAGACTATTATGTTTGAGTGTTCCTTTAGCATCTCAATCATCCACGGGCCCCACTGGTTGTTTAGCAGGCTTCCTGCATTTGATGTACTTAAACATTTTGCTATTACATTTTGAGGTTTTGGGTAGCTGTTCTTCAAACTCCTTTCTGGCTTTTCTTGTATTTTTACACTTTCAGAGTTATGTTCCTTTCTATTTTCTTCCCTAGGATTTGACTACCACTTTTAAAAAGATGTCTTTATCTGTCACTGCTTCTTGATGGTTAAGCTATGGTGGTTCTCTTACCGTGGGTTTTTAATTTGAGGCGCACATTTAAGTTGGGCTTCTATTATGGTGTCTTTGAAAAGTTTCCATGCAGCTTGAAGAGGTTTTGTTTTTGTCACCGTACCTCTTAATTCGTTTATCTTCATTTTGTGTAGTTTCCCTTTCTGAAAATAAACGCTACAGTGTTGGGCTGCTGAGGTGTTTTTCCCACCACAGGGATGTTAAATTTTATTACATTACGGTCACTATTTCCAAGTGGTTCAGTTCTATTTACCTCTTGAACCAGATCCTGTGCTCCACTTAGGACTACATCAAGTATAGCCTCTTCTGTTGTGGGTTTCAGAAATAATTGCTTTTTGGAGCAGCTGGATAAGGTATCAAGAAATGTTCTCTCTGCATCCTGTCCTGAGGTGATGTGTACCCAGTCAATATGGGGATAGTTGAAATCCCCCCCCCCCCCCCCCCCACATTTTTACTTTGATAGCCTCTCTAATCTCCCTTAGTGATAGTAACTATGAAAAGCTGACCTGATCAGGTGATATATCCCTACTGCTATATTCTTACTGGAGCATGGAATTACTATCCATAGAGATTCTATGGAACTTTTTACTTCATTTGATTCTACATTTTCTTTCATGTATAGTACCACTCCCCCACCTGCATGACCTGTTCTGTCCTTCCAATATAATTTGTACCTTGGTATGACTGTGCCCCTCCCTCAACCTTGTCTGAAAGTCACTATTCTTCTATTGACATTAACAGAACTAACTCTGGGGAAAGGGTTTTTTAGAAACTTTTGAGGACATAGCCAGGCTCTTATTTTGCCATTTGCATAGGTGCTCTCAGCAGCTTGAATACAGCATAAAAGGAGAGGAGGGCCAAGTATTTTCCCAGAAGTGGAAAAGTTTCCCTAAAACAAATGTCAGAAGTCACCATTTGTTAGCATACACGTAGCCAAAAAAGGTGCAGTAGGAGCAGTTTTACTCCAAGTTGCACACTTAATACTAAGCAGAGTCCCTCCTGAAGATTTTTCCCTACCATCTCATGCCAACAGCCTAAGGCACATGCACATAATGGTTTAAATGAATGTCAACTGGCCTGCAATAATGCTCCCCCACTGGTTTTGTCCCCCTGCCATTGTCTGGCCACTATTAAGACCTGCCCATCTCACTTGGCTGAAATATTGATCATTCTGCCATGGTCTCCTTTTTTTACCACTTCTCTAATTCAGAGTAAAGTTTTCTGAAACAAGCAGAATAAGATTTTTTTTCAATAAACCAGTTGACTCAAGGATGATTTTTGCAGGCTATTTATTTCAACTTGTACAGAGAAGCTTAAACATCTGTGGAAAAACACCTACATTTTTATTAGTTAATATAATTTAAGTGATAAATACACAGTATTTAAACTTTATACACCTGATAAAAGTAAAATGCATAGTAAAAGGGACAGGAATATAACAAGCCTTGGGGATTAAATGAGTATAAAAGTCAGCAAGATCACATAACTTTGAAAAAACAGATTGCTTATCTAGTAGATAACAGAGCTACCAACAAACAGTTCTACTGTGCAATTTCAAAGCCACATGGCTCATCACTCAGCAACAACTCGTGTTGGGTTTTCTGTCCTTTTTTTTTTTTTTTAAAGGAGTTGAAAGGGGAAAGCTAGCCACAGCCCAATTCAAAGGCACAGGCAAAAGGTTTACTTCACTACAGAAAAGATAGCTTGTCTAAAACAGAACAGCCTGGTATATAGAGTTTCTCTAACAGCTCATGCATTTAGATAACAGATCTTCCTCACACTTGCTACACTTCCAAAACTTATACTTTGACAAAGAAGCCAAAATAAAACTAAGAGCTTAATTCAGAAAAGTATCTTAGGCAGAGAGGACAGGCTAAAGACTCTTACTCAGGCATGGTACGAGTTAGCTGAAAGATAAACACACTTAGGAAAGTTCTTATATTTCTGGATGCTTAGGAGTCAAAGGTCAACATCCATACAACTTCAACAGCTAATTTCTGGGACCTAGATACTATACTGATGGACACCCCTTCACTGTACCTCTTAAGTCTCTGATTGCTCCTGTTTTGTTAAAGCATAATTTACTATATCAAATGACATACAAGATCATTGTCTATAGAATAATTCAGCACTGTATGGCCGTATTGTTCACAGACCTTAAACAAAAGCATGCTACATAAACTACTCAGAACAATTAAACAATTTTCTTTTTCAAGCATTTAGATGCAAAAACCCAAACCCATTTACAAGTACAGGAAGCTCTTTATCAGCTCTGTGTTTCTAACAAGGAGAAGTAAAACTGGGGAAAAGAAAAAATAAGTATTTTGAAGCTTGAGTTAATCTTGGTATTCTTCCTGATATTAAAAAGCAAAGAAGAGCAACAAACAAAAGCAGTTCACAGTTTCAAACTAAACAACAGGAACGAGTCTCCTTTTCATTTCTTTGGATTCATCATTTTTTTGCATCTAAAATGTTTACTGAAGTTATGGTTCTTATTTAAATCATGTCATCAGCCTTGGAAAGAAGATGATTGTACTATGCCAGTACCAATGTAGGAATACAGGGAACTTTCGATTATTGTGACCCAGGCTCATATGCTAAACGGAACTTGCATAAGTGAGATTTTTCTTGCTAATTACAGAATTAACTTCCTACCACTTTAGTAAAGGTCTGTCATTCCTAAGGTGACAGGGCTGCATCCAATCATAATCCGAATGTACAGCCAACAAATTCAGCGATGTGCCTCTTGCAGTGTCCACTAACTGGGGCTCCAGAGAATGGCAAGAACACAACCACCTCACAATGGCTCTGGCCTAATATACCATCTGGAGGGGAGGGAGGTGGGGAAAATCACTAATGTTCAAAATAACACTGGACACTTCAATAGTGCCTTCAGCCTCATAAACTCCTCCTTGTTGTATGGTAGGGAAGTTTCATTCTCTGAGTGCCTCGGGCAGATTAAGTGCTTTACCTAAGGTCCCACACTAAATCAGTGGCAGGGCTGAGTAAAGGATCAACTTTCCTGTCTCAGTGCCATGCTTTATCCACACAACTATCCTGCTTATTTTGACCCTTCCCCAATCCAATGGAGAATTTCACTCCCACTCATCTACATCCATGATTACCTCAGTTATTCCGCTCTCACTACTAGGTATGAAAATCTAATGCAGAAGCCAGAATCTATCCCACCACCTACTAGTTAGATTCTAACTATTCACAAAATAATTCCAAAGCAATCTCAGGGATGATGAAAATGCTCTTAGTAAGGAGTAATCCATAAACTAGATGTGCATTTCAATTACTGAAGTCTGCTAATTAGCCTCCGATCCCCAGGGATTTACAAACTGTTGGCTATTAGTTTGCAGAAATATCTAGCCCCAAAATCCAAATTAAGAGTTTAAAAACAACGCTTCTTTGAACGTTACCAAATAACCTAAATATTTCAGTAAGATCTTAAATCCTAAGTGAGCCCTATGTCTATTTAGATACTTAAAAATAGAATAAATAGTTTTTTAAATTGCATTAAACCATGTAATGTACACGGAAGTGAAGGATTTTACCCTGAATTTAAAATGTAACTATATATCTACTTTGCTCAAGTAAAAGATTTAGAAACGTTAGTGCTTCTTTTGCCGTTCAGAATAGGTCAGCTTTCCCCAGCAATATAGGTTTAAACTCATATTCTAACACAAAATGCCCTTTGCTGTTAGAGTGCAGACTGAACTTCAAGCCCTTAAACACATTTTCCATCTGTACCCTGAATACTTGGCCCAACTATTGCACATCTATCCATGCTAATGTCAAGATTTTAGGGAAACGGGTGTCTTCAAAACACAGTAATTAACACTAGTTTATGAACTATCTGAAGATGCTATTTTATCAAACTGTTAAAACTTCACTCAGAAAGACTGGCATTGTTGAAAATGGCGAGGTGGTAGTTTATACTTTGCTTCCATGCAATTAAAACATGTCAATTAAAAAACCCACAAAAATAGATGCAACACCCTTTCTGGTAGGTTGTGAACACTCAAAGTGCATAATTCTAGTTTTTTTCCAGCTGTGTGTGAAGATTCACGCTTTCATATACCTACCTACCTTGTACAATACCTTGTGGCATTAGTCTCCATGAAATATTTGGCATTAAAACCACTTAAAGCCATTTCCAGCTACATCATTCTTTGCTTTTTTGCCAATAACCACCACTGTCCATCACATTATCTCACCCTTCTGATCTCTGCCAACAAGTTTCAAACAATATATCAAGCCGTCCATTTAGTTATGTTTTCAACAATCAGAGATGTTCAATGTTTATGACAAGTACTGTAATCTGATTTCTTACAACATGCTGCTATGTAAGCTCTACATGCAGCTTATAGTGCTGTACTAGTGCCATGTCATGCTGTGTTTATTTGGCTTAGGCTCTGTTGCATCTCTTATCCTCAGATGCACATTGTGTAAAGGAGCCACGGACTCAGTTGCTCATCATAACCATAATGTTCGATTTCATGAAAGCACTTCATCCTCGCCTGCATTTGGTAGGTCATTGCACTTCAGATTATCCTCGCTGCCTTGTTTCCTGCTTTAAAATGAAATAACACACATTAGTGTCCTTAAAAAGAAAATTTTTATAGGAGGAGGAGGAGGAAAAAACCCTGTATCTGGTTCTCAATATACCATATAGCTAACAATTTCCAAACCACTATTCACATCATGATGGTACAGGTGCTGGAGCTAGGAGTGCAGTTGCAACCCCGTCCTGAAGTGTTTTCCATCACGTTCGGGATTTATAGTTTGGTTCAATGGCACTCGGTGCCCCCACTATACGAATTATTCCAGCACCCCCACATCATGGTTTATTTCTGTAACCACAGCAAACCTAAATAGGTCAAGACAATGCAGATTGGGTGAGAAGGAACATTCTAATAGCCATAACAATATCCAAAAAGACTTGGAAGCAGCGGTCCCATCTATCAAACATTAGCACACAGCACACATGGAAGTAACCTCACATGAAAGACTGCATGATAGCAGAGGCTGGGAGAAGATTAAAGCAGGGGCACAGCGAGGGAGAGGACAGGAGGAGCAGTTGCCCCCAGGTGCCACACTAGGGCGAGTGCAGGGAGAACGGCGCAGGCAGTTCTGGGACTACCCAGCCCCACCACAGCAGCCGCAGCCACGTCATTCATCCTGCGCTTGCCCTAGCGTGGTGCCTGAGGGCAACTGCCCCTCCCTCACTACGCCCCTGGATTAAAGAAATATGGGAAGTTTCTGGGCCACATATATTCAAATGCTATAACACATATATGGTGAAACAGAACCGATCGCCTTACCCCCTCTGGCTAGCTCTCAGACACTTACTTCACTTCACACAACTAGTTTTACAGGTGTTTGTGGGGTAGATGTGGCAAAAATAAAAACAAGTTGACTTTCATCTACTGGGTCTGGCTACGACTTCCAGTTAATCAGTGATGGATACAACAGGAGCGTGCTAATTAAGGATGTTAAATTTAGATTAACTAACTAATCGAATAGACCCTGCAGGGAGTGGGGGACTGGCCCCACGCTCCCTGCAGTGTCTGAGTCTTTTAAATGTACAAGAGCCGCGGTAGGCTCCCTCCAGCACTGGCTCCTGCTCCCTCCTCCCTTTCTGCCTCTCTCGGATAGAGGCCACAAGTGTGGGAGGGGAGCAATTAGTTGCATCACTAACTGACTGTCCAATAAGCTTCTGCTTATCAGATAGTCAACTAGTCACTTACATCGCTATTGCTAACCATAGCGTGTAAAGTGCTACGACTCTGTTGTAGAAGGACAATCAACTCACCAATATGAATAGGATTTGAGTGTCAGGCTGTCAGTTTACAATTCAGAACATGAGAGAAAGACTGAGAAAATACACAGATAAATTCTTTTATTTCATAATTAATAGCATAGTCACGGGAACACGTCTCTCATGCACAACTCCATCTGAAGTCAACATGTCACATGCGTAAGGTGAAATTCACCCCGCTGCAGGCCAGCTTGAGGTCTAGCTACAACTTAAATCCTACTTAATCTCTCAAAATAGGATTCAGTTGCCTAGTGCATAGGCCTTGTTCTGTCCCTCTGCACAGGGTGAATTGTACTGATTGAACACATTGCAGGACAAGTTCTTATATAAACCTACTCCTCAGGGGCTAATTGGGGAATTTATTTGCTTAAGTCCCAGGCATGCCCAGAAAGGAACAGAGCATTGACTATGGAAAATATCACAGACATCTGTCAGCTGAGCCTCCTGTAATCAATGTAATACAGGGTCTTTGGGGAAAGTTCACGTAAATAATGCTGATAGAGAGAAGAGAGTGAATGGTGGAAGCCAGTGTCCAGCATTAGTGCTTTCAGTGGTTTATCAGCCCTTCCTTTCAGATGATGTTTCACTGGATTGGTCTTCCAGTTTATCCAGATGGAAAATGCTTTGTACAGCCTGAATTACAACAGCCCCCTCTCCCTTCCCCCCCCAAAAAAAATCACAGGCATTAGAGGTCTTTTGGGTTCATATACAGGAAGTCAGGCTTAAACTAAAATCTGTTTTCTGAAGCAGGCAGTTACATGCTGAATCTATACAGGACTGACACATACAGGAGCTTTCTGCTTAAGAGACATTGTCATTTGAATTCCCATTCAAGTGCAGCTCATTCTAAGCATTAGTAGGCAGGACACCAACTTGTGCACTGATGTGGAAACTAGTGAAGCCAGGAAACCATGGTGTAGAGGAAATGGGGACATCACAGAAAACATCTACAAGCTCAGTAAGGCCCTTAGAAAGCCTGTTCCAACTCAGAACACTTAGGGTGAAATCCCAGCTTCTCTGCAGTCAGTGGCGTTTTCCTATTGACTTCATTGCTGGCCCACAAATAAACCCATGGGATCTTATCATCAATGTAATGAGGCCAGGTGAAAAAATATGCTTCAAATGAAGCAGGGGAAAGGTGATGGGAAAGAAGCAGTCCAACGTTTGTTTTCATTTATTAATGTGTATGACTACAAAGCAGATCCCAACAAAATGCATCAGTTTATTAAAGTGTAACCTTTATTCTAGAGTATAAAGGTAACATAGTATTTCAAAGCTGCAATGCAAACAGAAAGAAAAACAAAACATCTTTAATTTGCCTGATTAATTTACTTCTACATTCTGTTCTGTTTCCCCCATATAAGTGACCATGCTACTTTTTAGCAGGGAAAACCGTAGAAGAACATTACTCTTATCAGAAGAGCAATGCACACATGCATATTATTTGCTGCATGCAGCCAGTAGACCTTTCGTTAATTACTAGTAATGTATGATCCACTTTCTTAGAAATCTCCATTAATGCTTTAAAGGACTATCCTATTTTAAACGTAAACTTTCCTACAGCTTATGGGCTTCTTTGGCTGAAACAATGGCAATCGGCTACTGTGCTCACATATTCTGGTGAACAGACAGCCCCTGATTCCGAAACCTTCATGTGGTAGTAGTGCAAGCAATGGCCAACGCTGTTACTTGGTGTAAAAATATCCAAGTATCATGCTCCCACTCCTTGTCCATAAATGCACAGGGACAGTTCAGGAGGAAACACAACCCAAAAGAGAGGAAAGCTTCTTTTGCATTGCATAACACTTGATCTGGAAATGTCAAAAAGCCCCATGAGCATACACTGCATACACTGTTTAAATTTGCAATAGCACCCTCATACTGGCTCAGGCTACAGTAAGTCTATAAAACAGCAACTGAGCATTCTTTAGAGACAAGGATCTGATTTTATTTGCATTTAGTGCAGGATACCATTTCTGAAGTATCAGGGTATGTCTACACTACAGCACTATTTCGAATTAAGTTAATTCGAATTAAGCTAATTCAAAATAACACATCTAGACACAAAATCTATTTCAAAATAGCGTTTTGCTATTTCGAAATAGCGCATTCACAATGAGTGGACCTTTAGAGACAAGGATCTGATTTTATTTGCATTTAGTGCAGGATACCATTTCTGAAGTATCAGGGTATGTCTACACTACAGCACTATTTCGAATTAAGTTAATTCGAATTAAGCTAATTCAAAATAACACATCTAGACACAAAATCTATTTCAAAATAGCGTTTTGCTATTTCGAAATAGCGCATTCACAATGAGTGGACCCTGAACCGAAGTTAAGGCTGGCTGGAACCAGTGCCGGCAGGGCATCAGGTTAGGACCTAGTGTGTGGGGCTGCTGCCTGAGGCTAACTGAGCTCCTCCCTAACTGCTTAAAGGGACCCGACTCCCATCCCAGACAGACAGTTATCAGGGTTCCCCGCTTGCTTGTCTACCTCGATGAGGGATAGCAAAGCAGTCCTGGCTTGGAGTGCCCTGAGTGCCCGCACTCAGGATACCACAGCACTCGGCCACATGGAGCCAGAGCTGCCCCTGGGCTCGCCGGGGCGTCTCATGGGGTCATTGCCATCAGCCCGGCTGCACTTGCTGCAGGCTACCATCCGGGGGTCCATCGGGGGGCTGTCAGGATCCAGGAGGCCCTGAGGGAGAGCCCTCCGAGCCTCCCTGGTCCACCCCACCAGGGGCTCGTGCCTCATTCCTCCCTCATGTCCTTCCACTTACCCCTCCCTAGCCCCCCTTCCTGATGTCAAATAAAAGACACATATGTTCAAAAATAGAAACTGGGTTTATTGAACAAAATTGGGGGGAATGAACCTCTCGGGAGACTGGGAAAAGGAGGTGGGAGAGGGGATGAGAGAGGATGGAAGAGGAGAGGGGGAAACCTGGGAGGAGGGAGCTGGAAGGGGGAAGCAAGGAGAAGAAGTGGGAGGGGAAGCTCAGGGCTCAGGGTTGGGAATCTGGGGAAGAGAAGGGTAAGTTTTCCTGGTTGTGCCCAGAGTGGCCACCAGGGCTCCCTGGGAAGGGCTGGAGGCCCCCTATTTCAAATTAAGTATCTACACAGCACTTAATTCGAAATAGCTATTTTGAATTTGGCGTTACGCCTCATAGAATGAGGTTTACAAAATTCAAAATAATGGCTCCACTATTTCGAATTTATTTCGAAATAGCAGTTTGCCTGTGTAGACGCTATTAAAGTTAATTCAAAATAACTGCTGTTATTTCAAATTAACTTTGTAGTGGAGATATACCCTCAGAGCACTGCATGCACCAGTTACAATTAACTTACAGGAATCATTTCCGTTACCACTGAAATGTAGAGTCCTAGAGGTAGAATTAGATTTAATACATACATTGTACCAATTCACATCCTGATTGCAGTACATTTGTTAAATAAAAATTCTCATGCTCTGCTGGTGTTTTGTATTGTGACTATTCACTCACTGGAAATCATGCACTTGCACCAGAGAGAGATGAAGACACTTACGTCAGTAGGTTCCCTGGGGCACACAGAGATCGTTCTTCTCTCCTATTTCCCTCAAATGGATTCCCAAAAGACCGTTTCCTGATCATCGTTTTAACCAAGATCTACAGGACGAGAGACTGGTTTCAGTAAGGGACAACCCTTTCCAATAGCAGTACATTTCCATTCGCATGTAATAGAAATGTTTAAAGCTTGTACCAAACCCATAAAATCTGTGCTTCAGAAAACTATTTAAAACAAGCCTGGTATGGACAAAGTTTTAATTTAACAATAACAACAACGATTGCCAAGTCTCCAACTGTTCGTCCAGAAGCTCATTTCTTTATCTGGAATTCTTCAGAGCTACACATACCCACTTCAAACCACAGGAGACCGGATAGGAAACCTGAGCAAATAATGTGACATTTTCTCCTCCAATAATCTTTGTGAATTTTGATTTGCATGGCTCTGTCATTCTGCAGAGTTCATTTTCTGCAAACTTCCAATTGCATAGTCTATAACAGCAAAAGTACTTGTTAAAAGTAAAATTTTCTGGGGGTAAGGGGATTCACTTTAATACTGGCCAAAACTGAATTGTGATCAGAACTTCTATAGATTGTGTTGAGCTGCATAGCACAAATGTTACAAAATAATTTAAAATGCATGTTACCACTTATGTTTCATAACTTACATGTGATTGCATCAGTTCTCTGACTGAATTAAGTATGCAGCTAATCAATATAGTATGAACCGTGAGTCTTACAATTGAATATTTAGTTTGAAAGTCACTCAGAGAATAGAAACAATATCATGTGGTTGATATAAAAGCCAACAGTATGTGAATTTTATACCAGAAAGTTAACATTTGCAGCTTGATGGGCAAACTAAGAATTATTCCCTTGGGAAACGTGTAAACAAATTTGAAGAACAAAACAAATTTGAGATTTCTGCAACCTGTCAATGGCAAATTCATGAAAGAGAAGAGAGACAAAACAAGATGAATAAATAATTTATTTTGCACTCATTTGTGCTAAAGTCACATTGATTTCAAATGGGGCTGTGGGTATTGAGGCCTTGGGGGGCAGGGTGTGTGGAAACAGTAGCTACTTTTCAAATGTGCTCCTGGAAGCTCTTCAGAATGAGGATGGTCATTGTATTTGCATCTTGCACTGGGCAACACACAATGTCAGCATTTAAAAAAACATTCAATAAAAAAAAATCTATGACGGGCATGTTAAAGCTGGTGAGCTACTCACAAAGAAAGACAGATAACGTCAGAAATAAAAATGGAGGTGAGTTTTTTTCTTCCTTTCTTCTAAATGGTGACCTAAATTTAAAGATGTGACAGCAAGACAGGAAGGATGTTGCTGCTAATGAATTCAAGGCCTAGGAGATTTGAGGCTGGGAACACAGATCATCTGATGTGAAATTGAGCCCAGTGAAGAGCTGTTGTGGAGGCTATCCTTGCCGGACTTGACCCTGTCTGGATCAGAGCACCATCTGCAAGGCACTGAACACCCTCAGTTTTCACTCAACTCAGAACCAAGGATGAACTGCGCTGGGCAGAATTTGGTTTTCTGAAAAGGAAAGAGGTCATGGAGCACAGGCTGCTGCATCGTAAGCTCAGCAGAATGTGTGTGCATGGTTCTCACTCCTAGATTAGGATTTCTCAGTAAACAGAGTATGGGGCAGCAGGCTGGAGAGGGCACCTCTTAAAACTACTTGTGGAGCACAGTGAAAAAACGGAAGATACAAACTAAAACCACAACGTCAGTGAGCATCCCTGACTCTAGTGGGGCTGAAAGAACTCCACAGGCTCAGGATGTCTGCTTGAAGGCCTGGTCTCTGCTGGGTCAGTCCTCCTCCACATGGTCCAGCACTTTAAATAGGATTCTGCCATGGACCTGGACTTCGCAATCACCAGAAAGCAACGAGCAAAGGCTATGAAACCTTGCCAGCGAACCACATGCTGGCAAGATGGGAACAGCCAGCTAAAGGTACCTTTGCTGTTTCCCTTTTGTCTGACTTTTAAATCCCTAGACCAAAGGATGCGGCTGATCTCAGACTAGCTATGGTTCACAATGTTGTCATTAATGTGGTGTTACAAGCAGGAGATTAGAAGTTCTAACAGAAGCGACAAAATCCCACTAAACAGCGGTTCCCAAGTGGCAGCCACAGAAACTTCCCTCAGATGGTTTTGAGAAAGGGATTAAAAACAACAGGGGAAAGGGAAGCATATCTGAGCTTTGGCACTGGTTGATAAGAGACTCAGATCCAAGAATCAGGGACAAGAGAGCAACTTCCTAGACGAGATCCCGTTAAGGGGCTTCTCAGTACAATTTCCAGCTTTTCAGACAGTACCAGTCTGAACAATCTTCAGACAGCTCAGTTCCACTCCAGCTTGAGGGGAAGGCCACCTCCACCTAGCAACTGATGTTGTGGTCTGTTTAGCAGCTCTTTTGGGGCAGTGCTATTCTCAGTCTCATTCAGGAAAGGTTTCTGAACTATAGAAATGCCACATGCTGCTGCATGGTGTCTCGATGCCACTCCACTGATGGCTGCATTATAAACAGGAGCCCTGGCACCTAATCATTCATCAGCACAACTAGGTCTGAGCAGTGAGGCTAGGGCAGTAAAATCAGAGTATTTTCTATGCACATCGCGAGCGAATTGTTGGCTTGTGTTACCCACCACTGTGGCCAGGCTTGGGATGTGTTTGACCGAATTCTCAACTTCTTCCTCAGTCACCTCGATAAGCGTGCAGTTCTCATCCTCCGTCGGCAGAGGCTCTGCTCCGTTCTTAGTGACCCAAGGGTGCAGCTTCAATTAATAACACAGCCTGTCAGAAACTATTTCCTCTTTTGGAAAAAATTAGAACAACCCAGATATAGCAGATGTGCCAAATCCCTGCAGCTAGAGTACTCATCAGCCTGGTATTAAAGGAACAGGGAAGCTCTGCTTTTTAGCCAAGTGACCTAGAGGAGTGAACTATCCCAAATCATTATGAATAGAGATAGACTCAAATCAAATCTCCCAGTGCACACTCTGTCAAACTTGGAGGAAGTGTGGCTCTAGATCCAAACTCTGTGGAACAAGCTAATAGCCACATGGGGAGGGAAAAGCACTATTAATCGGTAGCACTTACAAAGCATTTTGCATCCCTGCACCTGTACATGCTTAACAAAGATGGGGAGCCCTCATTACAGTGACTTGCCCAAGGTCAAACAGAAAGAAAGTGGAAGAGCTGGGAATAGAGTCCGTGGTCCTGACTCCTAGCCCCCGACTTTAACCAGCACATTACAATAGAAATGGGAAAATAAGCTCAGAAGAAAAGAAGAAACCTTTTGCCCATTCTCCAAATACCAGGAACCTTTGTCCATTTCTGGAACACTTTCTGAAGGTTTAGAAATAGCTCATTAACTTCCCCCCAGTTCTTGCTTTTTTCCAAGCTTATTTGCCATTTTCACAGCTGCTTAACCCTTCTGGGCTCCGGTAGGGAGAGAGGGACAGAAGTCTCCTGAGGAGGCTGTTTTGTAACATTTTTCTACAAGCAGAGGAAATACTGGTCTCAGAGGATTTCTTTATGTGGCCTCGTCCTGCAGGTACAAGAGGTTCCAAGATGGGGAAGGCTCAGGAGGGCCTGAATAGGAGGCACTGGTAACTGGGGGAGGAAGCAATGAGCGATAAACTGACTCCAGAATAGCAAAGAAAGCCCCACACAATAAAATACAGCCCGGACAGTAGCAATGTCGCGACTCACCAACAAGACTTAATTTCCAACTGGTAAGTACCTTGATTTGCGGGACAGAAATCCTAGATTCAGGGTTTTTATCCAGCATCTGCATGATCAGATCCTTCAACTCCTCGGTAATGTCTGGCCTTGGGAAATTAAAATGATCCTCAGGTTAATTTGAGAGAGCTTCCTGCTGCTTTTCATTGACACGTTTCACCTTATCAGCACATTTCCAGAGAGCTGGGATAGAGAGATAGATTTGGGCACAGCGCCCTGGGCTTAAATTCCTTTGCTTTTTGCAGGTTGTTCAGGCTTGTGCTAGAGAGTGACTAATGCTGAGTACTCACTCACTTCTGTTCTATCACGGAGCTGAATCACGAGGCCCATGCTGCTAGCTCTGAGTGGAGGGGATGGTGTTTGGGAATGGGATTAAATGGTGAGGAAGAACCAAGGATTAAGGAGTGCGAGAATCAGAATCTGTGGGATTACTCCAATCAGTTACTTCTTCAATTCTTGTCATTGCCTTCGGAAGAAGGGACCCACCCCCATATAATTGTCCGCAGTGGAGTTTCCAGAGGAGAAGCAAATGCACACTGAGATAATGAAGTCAAATAAATGTGTTCAGAGCATTCAGGGTCTAAAAAGAATATGGAGAGATTGGACAGAAAAGCACCCTAGGGCAACAGAGAAGGTTAATGAATTCTCTTTCGAGCTTCTGGAACTCAAATCACAAACATTTTTTCAACAGCTGTAGAGCAACAAACTTTGACCTCATGCCTAGTCTGAAGGGAGCTCTCCAAGAATGAGTGCAGGAGAGAAAGAAAAATATTGGTGGTTTGCGTTATAACTTTGTAAACTCTCCTTGGATCCAGTCCAGTTCCACCTACTCAGTGCTTTCTGGGAGGCTGGGGAAGTGGTGTTCATTTTCCCATTTGCAAAAATAATAAAAAGCCTTCTATGTACTCACTGATCCGGGAATTCCAGGGGTTGGGTCTTGATTTTACTGTGCAAACTTAGAATCCTCTCATCCATAAAAGGGCACTAGTTACAAATCAACAAAACACAAACAACAGGATTTGCTAAGCAGTAAGGCATTTTGGGGTAGTCAGCAGAACACATCACATGGCTTTGGAAGAATTTTACAGGATTCAAAAAGGAGAGGAAGAAAGAATTAGGGGACAGATATGTGGCAGATTCTCACCCACTCAACTTATTTAAAAAAAAACCAGTATCATCTCACACTGTGTGGATTCAAAGGACAGACCAGAACAACAGGCCCAAGATTTGAACATTTTGAAGGCAGTGGAGCTTTTGAAGAGTAAGCTTTGTTGAATTAGCCCCATGATTTGGAAAGTGAGCTAGATAGCATCATCCTGTCTCCAGTCTCATTTATGAAGCCATCTCTTCCTCTTGTGTCCCATTGCACTTAAGGATGTTAAGGACTAGTCAAATCTTGTACATTTCAAAGCTGGCACAATGTGTACAGCCTGGGCCAGTGGGAAGTTCCATGGACTCCAGGCTCCACACGGAGTTCAGCATTCCTCCTTTGAAATGTGCAAAAGCCTCTAGATGGAGAATGCAGAAGTGCCTATTGACTACTCAGCTAGTAAATTAACCGGTATTTAACATCCTTAATTACACTTTCCAAGTACTCTTGTTCTCCCCAGACTGAGCTAAAGATGTTCTCAGCAGATGTGCCCTCTGCTGGTCAAATGGATCTACTATTTGCTAATCTGGAAGGTGCAGAAAAAGCTTACCCACTCATTCACTTGGGCTATCAGCTAATGAATCTATTAGCATTGCAGCAGGCATGGGTCATGTGCAATTTCACTGAGTCACCCATGCTTGTGGTTATTGATTTTAAACTGTGAAATGCCCAGATGCCATGGCAATATCAATGCATCAAGGCAGGAAATACCATCCCCACACATGGTCAGAACCTCTACTGCAGTAATATCCAGGGGCTCTAAGAATGAATGATTTTACACTCATCAAAAATACACCCATGGAGCTCTGGGCTGCACAAGAAACTCAATAATAGAGTGCTATTCAAGATTAGCGCTGCAGCAGGACTGGGATCACATGGTACCCGCAGCCATGAGAGTGGGAGTGGGATTAATAAAAGTCCTGCACAGGGCTCTACTCTACAGCAATGAAGCCCTGGGCTTAGCAGGAGCAGCTTCATTGTAACATAGGGCTCTGCACACCCTTTGCACTGGACGAATGCTGTCCTGGCTCTAGCACAGAAGGTAGCACAGAGATTAGTTAGGAGGGAAGGAACCACAACAGATCAGGTTTTCTGTGGAAGAAGGGAGGGTACCCTGTAAGCTGAGCACTTGGGCAGCCACCCAGGAGAGATGCAAATGTAACCAGCTGATTAACAGAGTGCCCACAGCCAGCACCATGTGTTTCTACTGGTGGTGCACATCCGCACATGCCTCAGGCTGCATAATAAAACGTATTCTGCACATGGATAGACACATTTAGAGGGAACATTGAAGGGGATATGCATTTCACCTTATGAAACACCACACTTAGCCTTGTGTAAAGAGACATGCTAACTCACTGACCAGACCCAAACAAGAAACTCATTACCTGCCCAAACACAAAACAAAAGAGTGTGATTCCCATAGCCCATACATCCAAAGCCTAGAAGAAAAGAGAAGACAAAATTATAGCTGTTTCTTGAAGGAGCCTGAAAAGTATGTATGTCTTAAAGAAATAGTTCCATATTAAAACAAAAAATCCTCACTACAAAATACCTTGCCAGAAAATATTTTTCTGGTTTCTGAAAGGGTTTCTGGAGCCATAAACGCAGGGGTGCCCACAGTGTTGGTCAGAAGGGCATCAGTTCCCTTGAACTCATTGCTCACTCCAAAGTCAGCAATTTTGATGTGACCATCCTCCCCAACCAGAAGGTTGGAAGGCTTAATATCCCGGTGAATTATCTTTTGATAGTGCACTGTGGGTAAAAGAAAGAGCAAGACAATCAATGGCAGGACAGGCTTGTAACACAACTAGGTAGCTAAGAGCAAATGACCAAATACACAAGGGCCTTTAAATCTCAATTAACAAAGACGTCGCAACGAGAGGCCTGATCCTGAGTTGGTGTCAGTCAGTGTAGCTTTGCTGGAGCCAGCAGAGTTACACCAGCTGTGGATCTGCCTCCCAAATGGTTACGAATGCCAGTGGGTTTCTGTGTTGAAACTTACAGTATTCGATGCCTTTGATCAGATCGTGGAAGTAGAAGCGAGCCTGATCTTCAGTGAGAGGTTTAATGGCTGGGACTTCCATCACAGGCCTGAAAAGGCAACACAAAACCAAGCAAGGCTAATAAGGAAGAGGGTCACAGTTCAGAACCAACAAAACTTTAGAGGCTTCTTTTTTTGCCAGCTGTTGAGGAGCACAGGTAGCAAAACTCAGGTAATGGATTCTTTAGCTTGTTACCGTGGTTATCCTGCAACTGTGATGTGTCTTCAGCAAATTCTGTGAATTAACTCACTGCAGTAACCAGAATGGCAGCATATTAGGTCCTGTCTACACTATAAAAATAATCACGTTCCACTGCTGCTGCTGAGGATTTTGACACCATTTTTAGTTATCGATGGGTGTGTCTACACCGCAATGAAGCACCAGGGGCTGGCCCCTGCTAGCTGACTTGGGCTGGTGCCACAGGACTGTTTACTGCAGGGTCAGTCCGCTCTCTGGGACTCCCCATGGGGCCAGTGGCGGGTATTTCATTACAGTGCAGACATATCCCATGTCACCAGTACAAGCAAGTTGGGGAATGCAATTTTAAAATGGTAGATACAGTGCAGTTGTACCCAGACACTGCTTAAGAAAGGTAGGCCCAGAAATTCAGCCGCTCTCTCTGCTTCTGAGGACAGATTTTACATCCCTGATCTTTGGCTGCATTACGGTCCCTTTGCCTCACCACGCTGTTGCAAAGCAGCTCTAAAGCTGCCAGAGTGAGTCATACGAGACTCAGCCTCAGCTGAGCCAAATCCTCAGCTGGTGCTGAACTGCAAAATGGCTCCAACACCAGGCCTCCTTGCAGTGGGTGGCTTAGACGACATAAACCCAGCAACTATAAATGCCCCTCAGTTAACACCACTGTCAGCTTGCCTAACATACAGCAGTCCTCAGGCTACTCCAAATTACAGGTGTCTGTGTATGTGTGTGTGTTCTGAACACAATGGATGAGGACAAGGTGAGGAAAAGCAGAGGTGCTGGGTCCCCGCTGTACCTCTGCCTCCCCTGCCACCCTGCAGAGATGGTGCTGGGGGGAACTGGCTTTTAAGCTGGCTCCTGCTCGCCCCACTTGCTGACTCTGTTACAGAGGTAGCAAGGTGGGGAAGCGACTAGTTGAATAGTGAGAAGTGACTAGTTGAGTAGTGACTGGACTACCCGATAAACTTAGGCTTATCAGGCAGTCAACTACTTGAGCAGTCTCGTACATCCCTACTATACATAATACATTCCATGATTTTCCCTCTTGTGTGGACGCCTAGATGGATGCCACCATTTCTGCCCTCTCACCAGAATACCTTTGCTTGTGATCCATACAAGAGCCCAAGCCTCAGGGCACTGCTGTCTTTAGTGGCATCACATTCACGCACAAATGCTAATTTGGCTGTGGCCTCCTCCTATTATTATTAGATGGTCAAATGTTGAAGGACTTAATCAGCCCTTGGTCAGGCAAAACTCTTGCTGAAGTCCATGGGAGTGTTGCTGGTGTAACAGCTGAATGAAGACATTAGAATCCAGATCCTTAACATACATAGCGAGGCACATGCATGCAGCACTTGATAAATTATTGGCTTTTGGTCTCAGGATTTCCCTGCCCTAAAAAGTTTGTGATCTAGAGGCAGTGCCTAAGGCAACCATTACAGGAAACAGAATGTACACAACAGAAATGCTTCCTGGATTAAGTGGTGTTTTAGAAGCAGTGTGAAAGTGACAATCTATACAATTCAGATTGAGAGCTCTAAAATCATTTCAATGCAAGATGTTTCCTGTAGACATGAAAGTGCTGAACTGCCTTGTTAGGTCTGATTCTCAAAGAGGTTTGGGCTTGTGGGAGGAGAAGTTTCTGAAGATTTCCAGTGTTGTTTCTTCCTGCCATCCAATCATGTTTCAAGACTCTTCAAATCCTCTTCCTTAGCAGAAGTTGGGAAAGCATCAATAGCAGGCTCTAATCTCCAGCCACACTGTCACACAGCACAAAACCTAAAGAGGTGTAACATGGCCCTTTCCCATAAATAGCAGTGTCCTCTCTCAGCTCCAGAATGTGGTTCTCACAATAGTAAGAAACGGGGCGTAGAACTTGGAAAAGCGCCTGGGCAGCTGTTTGGCTTGCACATCTGGACCATACACAGCTCTTCCATTGGTCTCAACGGCCTGGTTATACTGGTCCATTAATTCATCTTTTCAGCACTGTATTCTTTCTCTATGGGGATAGATGGGATCTCCTTTCACCCCAGAAATGTTGGTCTCATTTCCCTCAAACTAAGAGATTTAGGGACAGACTCCAACTTCCATTACACCAATGCCATTCTGCAGCTACTCCCTTAAAGCCTATGGAGTTGCTCTGGATTTACTGGGATTGAGAACAGAAGCTGACCCTTAATGTGGCCATTGCAATGAAAATTTCCCTTCTTTACTTTAGTCTTAATTAGGGATGTTAAATAATGGTTAAGTGAATAGTCGAGTAACCTCATGAAATTTTATCGGTTAGTTGACTATTCTATAGTCCCTGGGGGGGAGGCCAGCAGCCAGTATCAGAGGGAGTCTGCAAGGGGAGCTAGTTTAAAAAACCAGCTCCCTTTGCAGACTGGCTGCCTGTCACCCTGTCCTGCTGCTTCTGGGAAAGAGACAGCAGTGCAGGATGGCTGAAGCCCCTGTCTGGGGGCGGTCTGAGCTCCCAGACCTAGAGTAAGCCAGAACTGAGGTAGGCTGCCTGCCCACCCAGCTCTTAATACGCTTGAAATGCAGAGATGGAATGGGGGTAGGTCCCAAACCCCGGACTGAGCCGGGCTGCTGACCCACTCGGCTCCTAATACACTTTAAATGCAGAGACGCAGCTGTGGTAAGTGCCAGACTCAATGCAAGCCAGGACTGAGCCAGGCTGCTGGCCAGCTTGCTAAAAAATTTACCAGCAGGGAGAGGGGGAGAAGTAAATGCATGTAGTCTACAGAATTAACCTATAAGCTTTTGCTTATCGGTTAACTGACTACACTTTTACATCCCTAGTCTTAATTCCACAGTCTTGCATCCCCTCCTGGGATATCTGAGGGCACATCTAGACTAGATGCGGCTTCTGAAAGAAGATATGCAAATTCAGCTCGAATTTCCATCTCTTTTTTTCCCGAAAGAGGTTTTTCCGATATTTGGCCCATCTACATGGGGCCAAATATCAGAAAAAAGCCCTCTCTTTCAAAAGCATCCTGTAAACCTCCTTTTAGGAGGAATAATCTCCTAATCAGAAGAATAATCAGAAAAGCCTCTTCTGGGGAAAAAACCAGACGAAGATATGCAAATTGGAGACGAATTTGCATATCTTCTTTCGAAAGCCGCACCTAGTCTAGACATGCCCTCAGAGAAATGTTGAAGCACAGGATCTGGAGCCAATCCACTGTCTATTTAAGATCCATCTTGATGTCTAGTGTCCCATCATTAATTGCAAAGTTCAGATTATTCTTTTGACCTTGGCAGTACAGGGCCGCTGCTGTTGTTTCCTTAGAAGGAAGGTGGGGTCCTGGAGGAAAGCAAGACTAATTAGCTTCATCTTCACATGAGGGTCTTGTCTCCTGGCCCAACTCTGCACATTTTCACAAAAGCTGTGGGAGATGCTGCTGTCTGTCACGAATCTCCTAGGGATCCAACATCTAACTCAAGCAGATAGAACTAAGGAGAGGCTAAAATGGTTGGCTCTGTCCAAGAGTCACATTTTGTTCTTCACATGACTGGCAAATGCTTATCTATTTATTACTGGTATTATAAAAGCGGAATTGGGGCCCCACTGTGCTGAGCATTGCATGAATGAATAGAAAGAGACAGTCCCTTCCCTAAAGAGCATGAAATCTAACCACAGAAGACAGTCCAATGGTGAGAGGAGACAGAGAGTCGGATGTGACTCAACCAAAGTCCCATAGGGCATCAATGACACATCCAGGAACAGAACCCAGGCCTCCTGAGTCCTTGCCCTGTGCCCTACACACTGAACCATGCTGCTTGCACTGCCCCCACCTTGTGCTATTCCCATACATGGCCATCTATACCTCTTACAGTATCCCATCTCACACTAGCATACCACAAGAACTGCAGACACTCAACAGGCTGAGTGCCAAAAAGAAGATTGAGAGAGGCACAGTAGATGGCCTCACAAGTCAAGAGGCTCAGAAGACATCCCATTAACATCTATTATCTATTGCACAGGATTACTTTCCACTCCCACTAATGGAAGTTGTACATGTCTCTCAAAGACAGAGGAGACTCTACAAATAAATCATAATTTCTCAGCTGCATACCTGGGCTTTCCCACCATAAAATGAGAAGAGCAAAGAGGGAAAAAGGGAGGTGGGGGAGATTCAGCCTTTCATTCTCTCTCCAAGATGACCCAAGTTAATTCTCAGCTCTGAGGGGAAAGATACATATTAACATAACCTCAACAAGTGTTTACATTCTCATGCCTACAAACTATGTCACCATTCTGCAAAAAAACTCACTAGTTTACTGTGTTTTCACTAAAGACAGACTTCTTGACCATGAAAAGAGGAAAATCTTCCCTCTAACAATTTTCTTATTTGCTTTATCATAGGCACCTGGGAACCACAGAACCACATGAACCAAAGACCCCACTGTGCTAGTACTGTGCAATCACAGAACCTACACCAACAACTAACAATCTAGTTTTAGTTACAATTACATTGCTACTGCTGCTTTCATGAGAACGGAAAATCATCCTTATAAAATCCACATATACTTTCTTCTGACTTCTCATGCCATTTCAACCTTAATTTTCCTAGAGCCAATCATCTGTAAAGGATATGTTAAAAAATTTTCATCCTTAATACTTACATAGCATTTTTCATCTGTAAATCTCAAAGCGCGTGATAATGTTAAAAGAATATTATTAGCCCCATGTTAAATATGAAGAAATGGAGGCACAAAAAGGTTACATGATTTTCTCAAGGTCACACAGTCATGAGCAGAGTCAGAACCTCAGATTTCTGAACTCCTGATCTGGAGTCCAGTCCTCTAGGCCACACTGCTTTTCTCTTCTGTAGGGTGAAAGGCAACAGAGTTCAGAAGGGAATAGAACTCAGACAAGATGTGGAGGTCCTAGAACTGAGTTGAGACAGCCTGAAAGTAGCATCCTGCACACACGTGGAGAAGCACAAACTCATGCTAGAGATCTGCTGTTGCAGGTCATGCTTTGCGCTATCTGGAAGGTCGTTTTCCCACTACATGTAATAAATGTGCTGGACTAGACCCAGGATTCCATACCTCACAATCATTTGGGCTCATTCCACATGCTCCTGGATAAACTCAGAGCACATCACAGAGCTGAAGTCAGTGTAACTCACGTATATATAGGCCAGAAGAGGGAATGCAGCAAGAAAAGCTGCTAGCAGGAGGAGGAGAGAGACCCACTTTAATTTACACATTCTCCATATTCCTGAGCATGCCAATTAGAACAAACAAGACTCCCTGATGGATTACTAAGTGTACATAGGTCCATGGGCAACTGGGCCTCAAAGCACATCTAGACTACAGGGCTTACAGTTGCAAAGCCATAGTACAAACACGTCTTACACTGACTGAAGGGATTTTCCTATCAATGTAGGTAATCCACCACTTTTGAGCAGTGTTAGCTAAGGCCATGGAAGAATTCTTCTGTCAACCTAGCCACTTCTATAAGTGGGGGTAAAAGGCTGGCTTAACTACAGCATTCGGGGATAAGAATTTTTCCACATCCCTGTGTAACATAAAAACAAGTAGTCCTGTGGCACCTTAGAAACTAACAAAGATATATAAATTATCATGAGCTTCACTGGGCAAAACCCACTTTTTCAGATGGTGAGCTGGAGAGGAAACTAGTTAGGAACATCTAAATTGTATGTTACAGATCAGGACACAGAACACCTCGTTTTAACATCTTCCATATCATCTCTGTATAAGATATTTGGGCCTCTGTACGCACTATTTAACCAAAGTACAAGTTGAACCTCTAAAATCTGAGATGCTCTGGTCTGGCAACATCCATGGTCTAGCCAGAAGGACCACAGATATGGCTGGACCAGAGAGCCCAGGATGGCCAGGTTTGGAAGTACAACTCAGGCTGGGCTAGTGATGGGGAGCACATACCCCGCAGGGCTGGCGGTGGAGAACACAGCCCCTGGCCAGGGCTGGTGGCAAGGAGCACATCCTCATCTGGGGCTGGAGACAGCATGGCCAGCAGCCAAGAGTGCAGCCCCACTGAGTCCGGCGAGGTAGGGAATGCAGCCCTGCCCAGGGCTAGCAAGGTGGAAAACATAGCCCCGGTCGGGGACTGGCACTGGGGGGGCGGGGCGGTAGCCCCCGTCACGACCGGTGGCAGGAAGCACAGCCCCACCTGTGGCTGGAGGCAGTATGGCCAGCAGCCAGGAATGCTGGGGTTGGTGGCATAGAACACAGTCTCAGCCAAGGCTGGAGTCAGTGGGGCCAGCAGCTGGGCATGCAGTTCAGGCCAGCACTATGGTGGTGCAGCCTCAGCAGGAGTTGGAGGCAATGGGGACCATCTCTGTCTGGGGCTGTCTCAGTGGGGGACACAGAGCCAGTCAGGGCTGGTATGGCAGCAGGGAGCACTTCCTCAGCTGGGAGCAGAGCCTACAGCCCGGTAGGGAGCCTTAACCTCCCACTGTCTGGCAAACTCCATTGTTCGGGACCACTCAAGTCCTGAGGGTGCCAGACAAGGGAGGTCTGACCTGAACAGCTACCACTGCTTATGAAATAAATTTGCTTCAATATTAACTAAGTTTGAAATCTAATACCAAGGTTCAGTACTTACCCTTGTTTTACCAGTTCAAACACTGCAACACAAAAGAGAAGGTGATTAATTACAGGCTGAAAGCTCCACAAACAAGATCCCAATAGGAAAACAATTATTTTTATAACCAATTATGGAAATAAAATACACCACAACATGAAACCGGCCTGGAAAAGTGAGTTCCAAGTGTGGAAGAACAACTTGTGGGATTTTGTTTTTATAAAATGTACATTTTTGCATGAAGTCATCATTGTATTTATCACACAGATCTGGAGTTCATGTTAAAATAAGACTGACAGTTCATGCCGCTGCTTCAAAGAGAACATTAATATCTTCTATGTTAATAATCGATGAACCAACATATTTGTTCAGTAGTTCAGAATCATTACAGTCAATCAGGTTAAGAATCTTCTCATTATAACCCTGATTCCGCATCTCTTACATACCTAAGTTTTGAGTATGCAGAGAATGCAGAACTAGAGAGTCTAAAGTCAGATTAGTGCTTTGACCTGAATCCAGTGCTCCACCATCAGCTAAGTACGGTACAGAGCAAAATACACACCAACAGAAAGGGTTATCCAGAAACCAAGTAAAAAGACTTTTCCCCCAAAACACGTTTAGCTAAAATGAACTGCATATTTCTTCAAGAAAAGCTGAGAAGGAGCCAGTAAGGCTCTATCTATACCGCACCTGGGGCAAGCCTCTCACCCTGGGTAGAAATATTTGTTTTAGCGGGACTCACAGGATTCTCACTAAAAATAGCAGCATGGATACTGCACCACCAGTATGGGCTCAGGAGAGCTACCCAAGCTTAGAACCAGGGGCTCTCCCAAGCCTCCCCTGGGGCTGCAACATCCACACAGCTATTTTTAATGTACCCGTGCAAGTGTGTCTAACCATTTGCTCCCAGCTGCAGCATAGAGATACCCTTAGTTCCTCTGCTAAATAATGCATCTTACGCCTGCTATGATTTTTTTTTTAAATCAAGTAAATAACATTTTTGCATCTAAACTGCATGTAGGAAACTCACATTACCTATACAAAATGGAGAAGTAAATAGACTCAGCTTCTTATTTGTACATTCAGAGAAACACATCTAGCCACATTTACACCAAATAAGCACTCTAAGGCTACACCTACACTGCAGGGTTTTTGCACAAAAATGGCCATTTTTGCGCAAAAACCAGTGGAGCGTCCACACCTCAAGTGAGTTTTTGCACAAGTAAATTTACAGTAAATCAAAAGAACAGAGAGGTTTTTACAGTGTAGGTATTCCTCTTTCTACGAGGAATAACTCTTTTTTGCACAAGAGCTCTTGCACAAAAAGGTGTGTGTGGACAGGCAATAGGGGATTTTTGCACAAAAAGAACCAATCGAAAAAAGCACAGGTGCCCTGTCAGCCATTCTGTAAAAAGCAACTGGAGTTTTCTTTTGGGAGAGTGTCCAAGCAGTCTGGACGCTCTCTTGTGCAAAAGCACATCGCTTTTCCAATGAGCTTTTGTAGTGTGGACGTGCTCTTGCGCAAGACTTTTTTGTGGAAGATCTCTTCCACAAAAAACTTTTTGAGCAAGAAGCCTGTAGTGTAGACATAGCCTGAGTTGCCCCAGTGATGTCTATAAACAGGCAGCAAGGCACTATACTGCACGAGAAAGGGTGGCAAATGTGCCCCTTCATTAATGTGCTTTTTCAGGCACAACAGCTGCTAGCAATGGAAAACTTGGCCCTCAAAATAGATTAAATTAAGAGAAATAAGGCAGACTCACAATGAGACCAATATGCTAATGAACTCAGACAATGATTTTAAAAGACATAGCAGCAGGCGCTGTGATTGCAACATTGGTTTTAATCAGTCACTGTTCTGGCCTCTGTGAGTTCTGCCCCTTTGTTACCGCAGAGAGGTATTTGTATTGAACTTCCCAATTTTAACTGGAGTTTTGAGCAGTACTAAGCATTGTATATCAAGGAACATGAATTTTGTTAAACTCTAGGGAGACCAGGAAAAAGGTAGAGGCAGTGCTATCAGTGAGCTCTTAAAGGAGTAAGCTGACATGACTCCTTAGACCCCTGTGAGTAATTTAGCTCTTTACAGTCACTACTGCCTAAAAGACAATCTGCAGCTCCCATCAGGAGCCAACTTAAGGACTCTGAAAGGAGCTAAAGTTAGGGTAGGAAGAGAAAAATCACCTCGCCACCATTGGACAATAAGGAAATGGTGCATTTCCATAGTATTTTCAAACCAGAGTCTCAGTATTTCTAAGTACTACTCCACTGTATAGCTGGGATAACTGAGGTGTGGGAAAGTTAAGTGACTGGCTCTAAAGTCACACAGTAAGTTTGTGACAAAGTATTAAATTTAAATCAGACTGCTGACACCGTGCAATAGCTAATGGATAACACTGCTCTTCCATTTAAATCCAAATAGGATTAAGCAAGAATGAGAAAGGATGGCAAATGTGCCCATTCATTAACATGTGTTGTTTTCAGGCACAACAGCTGCTAGCATGAATGGAGCTGCAGGAAGAGGGGTTGTCATGGTCATGAGGGATGGCCAGCAGCCTGCGGACAAAAGGGTTAACTGTACCTAGCCAGGAGCTTCAGGGGGTAGCTGAGTTAGTCTGTTACAGAAAAAAAAAATGGTCTGGCAGCACTTTATAGACTAACAAAACATGATGATGGTATCATGAGCTTTTGTGGGCACAGCCCACTCCAGTCATCTGAAGAAGTGGGTTGTGCCCACGAAAGCTCATGATACCATCTACATGTTTTGTTAGTCTAGAAAGTGCTGCCAGACCATTTGTTGTTTTTTTCTATACCTAGCCAGGTAGCAGTCAGCCAATAGAAATGCAGGTAGGAATTTGAAATTGGGACAAAGGAATTTTTGGGTTTTTCCCTTTGTCCGTGGCCAGTTGACTCTGCAGATACTGAGGGAGACAGAAGATATGTCTGTCTCCAAGAAAAAGACTTTTCATAATGTATAAGTAGGGTAAAGTTTAGATAAATCTGTTAGATTTTATTGTTTTATGGTTTGATACTGTGGATCTGATGTCTGTGCTGCTAGAAATGGGCATTCCTCTCTTTTGTAACTAAGTTTTGAGCCCATGGGAAAATTCCCCAGGAGTTTATTAATTGGTGGCTCTTGCCATCTAGCCAATCCAACTATGCTTGTAACAGGAGAATTGTTTTGATAATAAAAGTTATTTCTTTTTTAGTAACCTGATATTGGATAATTTTTGTGTCCTGATTTTACTTTAGGGCTGAGATTTCTCAAGTGATATCCTTCCCTGGTTTTCTTACCATTACTTGGTGGTGGCAATGGTTTTTATTCTCCAAAGTCTGGGTATTAGGATTTGGGGGGGAATTTTTGTACCAAAGTCTGGAAAGATATGGTTTTGGGGGTGCTTTTGTGGGCCCCCACTTCTGCATTCAACATGCCAGAGTGGATATTCAGCCTTCACAGGGGTCCATAATGAACATCCAGTTTACATCACATTTTAATTTACTTCTATTGCACCTTTGATTCAAATTACTAGATGTCCAGTTAGTGCAGGGAGAGAGCCTGAGTCTGGAAAGCTATTCAGTACATTAGTATTTGGGTCTGGGACCTGGTCACTTTCAGAGACACGGTACCAAACTAATAGCATCATTGCTCTGAGCAGTCATGACAACCCCTGCATTGTTATTCTTTGCGCTGTGTGCTCTTGGATACATCGCTTTAAGAAGAAGGATGGTATTGGCACAAGACCAAAGGGACATCAACTGGCTGTGAACAAGTTCAGGCTGGAAACTGGAAGGTTTTTAACCATCAGAGGAGTGAGGTTCTGGAACAGTCTCCCAATAGGAGTTGTGGGATTCAAAAATTTAGCTAGATTTAAGAGAACTGGAGTAATTTATGGTTGGGAATGTGTGACAGGATTAATGATGATTATAGGGAGCAGGGTCTGACAGCCCTGGAGATCCCATCCAATCTGTGTCTCATGTTTCTAAAATCTTACAGTTCAGGGCTTCAGCTGGTTACCTGCAAGAGTCAGAAAGGGATTTTTATCTCCCAATCATTTCCTGTGTTTTTCTCTTGTGTCTCCTCCCTCTGAAGCATCGAGATGGCAAAAGCTGAAGATGAGAGAGGGCAGGTGGACACCCCGAGGTGGCACAAAGCAGGTGCTGGGCTGGCTGGTTCTCGTTCACACGCTCAGATCTAACTGATCACCACGGTGTGGCTGCAAAGCAGTTTTCCTTCAGGTCAGACAGGCAAACCCAAAGTCACTGCTGCTCTCTGCAGCATGGGGGGAGAGGGCGTCACTTGCCTTTATCACCTGGGTGTATCTCACTTAATCAATTCCCTGCTACTGCAGGGACCTCTAGCATGGTGCACCTTGATCCTATTCTTTGCCTGTGGCATGCAATAGTTTAGTTTCCTACAGACTGCAATATTTTGGCCTTGTTAGGTGCTGGGTTTAGATTGCAAGTGCTTTGTCCTGGTAGTGTCCTTTGATATGCAGGTCAGATTAGATGATCTGATGGTCTCTACTGGCCTTAAACTCAAAGACTTACTCCTCCCCTGTGCCTCAATTTCTCTCACTGTACAGCGGGGATGGGAGAGGTAAGACAATGTCAGCCCAGCAGTTTGACATCCTTGTTTGGCAGGATAGCTACAGTAACACATTACTATTGAATTCTGCTCCTCTAACCACAATGGGAAGGGCAGGGGTTTCAACATTTGTGGAGAGAATGCAGCTAAAGCAGTCCCTCTTTCGAAAAGGAACTATGGTGTATACAGCACTGGGAGAGGTGACAGAAGGACAACAGTTAAGAGCATTACAGGTTACAGCTGGGCACCTGGCTTTGCAAAGTGCTCCCAGATATCTAATTATAACCTCATGCACTGCTAAGTATAGGCTGACTGGGCAAAGTCCTGTTTTATCTCTTTCTGAGCTCCCACATGGCTCTGTAATTAAAGAGGAGCTGGTCCTCTGATATACACATGCCATGAAAATTCTCACCGCTGTAAGCCCGATTCTGTTACTTTAAGCAGCATCAAAGGAATCTCTGTAGTGATCAGCTACGTCACTGGCACAACTCACTACCTCAGTCCCTCCCCACAGACCATGGGAAACATTTTACACAGTTGTCCAAAACTTTGATCCATGCAAACAGAGATTGCATCCAAAATACAGTCCCTGCCATGTGGCAGGCATTGCAGGGCAGAAGGGAAGAGTGATTGGTTTACCCATGTACAGATGGTCCTCGCTGGGGTCATCTAGCACCTGTCAACACAAGTTAGAAGGATAATGAAGTGACTGCACATGAATAAAAAGTATTATACATCTCCACAGGTCCATATCACCCATCAGAAAATAATAAGAATACACATACTGACAACAGGGGCACGGTGTCTGTTAATTTAGGCCCCAAATGTATAGCTAAGATTTTATTTTTACATACACACACACCCACAAAACCTACAGCCACCTCTGGCTTCATGGGTACACAACATGATCACTCAGAACTTCTTGACAACATCAGGAACAGAGTGCAGATTTTCTTGAGCTAAAAGACAAGGCCTCTGACATCAGGAAGAATTACTCCATTGCATGGCATCTGACTCAGTTCAGAACCATTCAGAAGAGGACTAGGACATGCAAGCCAGCCATTCCATTCATCTATATGCATGTGTTTGGAAGATAGATACATTTTCAATACAAAACACACATGTTAAATCTTAATTTGTATAAGTGGACTGAAGGAGAAAAAAAAGCAAAATGTTCTTTTATCTTGTTGATACCAGTTTAATTCTATTTTAAACCTATCCCTCCTCTCTCCCCTCCAATATACCTGTTTCAGGGCAGCAGCTCCAATTTTAGAACTGGAGCTGCTTCCCTTTAGGAATCCCAGTTTCTGTCTTTATTTAAAACAGACATTTTTGTTTTGCTAATTTCAGTAGTTCCTTCCCCCAAGGGAAAAGTTAAGAGGAAAAAATGTAGCTGTAAAACAAAGAAAACAACACTTCTCGTGTGTTTAAATATTTATCTAAGTTATAAATCAGCAAATTAACAGTATGTATATTCTTATATTTTGATACTTTTTGCATGGTCAGTTTCATTAAACCAATATGTTTCCCAGGAGACAAATGTGGACTTTAGCAATGGTATTACTCAAAATTTTCATAATTAAAGGATGAAGCATTTAAAGCACCAGAAGGATGATTTTAAAAAGGTCAAAGAAACCATCCAAGGGGATAGTGCATATTGTGATTCCACAGCATATGCTGAAAGAGCCATTTGGAATATATGAATCATTCCTCAACTCAGAATGAAAAACCCCTGAGATGTAATTGGGCATGTGGTGTTAAAGGATCATTTATACTCTCTCAGAGTTACAATCCAATTGTGCTATCAGCAGGTTCTATACACAGAGCCTGTAGGTTCTCTTCCACTGCTGAATGCAGGGACCAAATCATACATACCCTTGCTGCTAGAGATATAAGTATGAATACAAATTATTCTCTTTTTAAGACCCATCCTAAAAGACTGTTTGCACACTCAGTTCTCCCACGGGTTAATGCGTTCAGGACACTCAGCACTACACAAGAGGTATGTAGCACCCTGAAGCTTCAGAGCCAGGATTATAGAATGGGACTAGGATTTACTGCAATTTATGCAGACAAGAAGTTACACTTTTTGCTGCCTTCCCACAGCAACAACAAGCAATTGTTTAGAGCATAGGTGATCTCTCACATAGAACCCCAGAAACACTACGCTCCAAAATGGACTTAATCTTTTACATTTTCCCTCCAAACTGGATAGTTTTTGCAGTTAGAATCACAAAAACTAACATTCTTCCAAAATTCACCCTTTAAAAAGGGAAGAAAACCAGCATCTGATTCTGAGACACAGGAACCAGGCCCTCAATTCCATCTCGACTGGTACATTGAGATGCTCTGAAGTTACTATTTCTCTTTCAGACTGATGCATACCAAGTGCTTGCAGCACAGATATCCTTTTATTCCTGGTATCCAAGCACAAATGGATTGCACAATGCAGTGTCTGTCTTCACAAAACAGGCTACTGAAGTCAACAGAAAAAACATCTGCACATGCATCCCTCCCATGTAATTCTGAAAATGAACATAGTTCAAGTCAAGCTAAATACCTATGTGCACTGAAGATTTTATGTATTTATTGCTTATTTGTTTTAAAGATGGCCCTTCAACCACACAGGACAGATCAATATTGGAATGACTTTCTGGATGACAAATGTCCTGCCATCAAAAACCCACACTTTGCACTGAATGCCTCCAGGCCCCTGCATACCCGAACATCATAATTGCAAGTTAACATTTCAGCCAGTCTCACCTCTACCAGTTTCACTACATTAGGATGGTCCAGCTTTTTCAAGATGGCGATCTCTTGGTACACCTGTTCAATAGGCCCTTTTGGTTGCAAACAGCCTTCGGATGTGGCTTTGGCACCTCGAGGTGGTGGGCGACCTATTTAAAATGAAAAAGATACAGGAGGCAGGTAGTAGAAGAGAAGTAATAAAGCTGGCAACTGAAACATGTGGCAGACCCAAGGCAGCACCTCATCAACAGTCACAAGTTAAAAGACCTGATCTTCACAGGTGCAAAGATTTCCCCTCTTCCACTCACTTCTCTGGGTCTTGCAGGTGCTGGGTGCCTCTCAGGATCATGCCATGAAGCATGTATTTGAATAACCCTGGTGCACTGCAAAATACACTAACAGTAATAATTTAAAAGAGAGAAAAGCCAAAGCAGTGCTTACTAAGCATGGTCACTGATGATCTTAGACAAATAACTACATTTAATTTCAATAGTGTCTAAGATACAGTCTACATAGCACAAAATCCCTCCCCCCCCCCATCATTTTTGCAGGCAAGAACTTGTTTATTTTTTCTGTTGAGTCTTTACATTTATGCCATCATTTGCTGGGCCAAATTCCTCTCTGATGCTTCTTTTTAGAATATGTGCAACATGCTTCAGGTGGCACATGGCCAGGAGTCATCACTGTACTGATCCGCTGGTTGGATCATTAGCTAGGCACAGCAAAATTAAGTGACTTGTCCCAAGTCACACAAGATATCTGCATCAGAGCCAGGAACAGAGCTGGGATCTTCTGATTCCCAGTCCCAAGCCCTAATCCCCAAATTCACATTCTCTCCATCACTCAAGCCCTTGCCCCAAACCACCAACATCAGTATAGACAAAATTCAGCACCGACACAAACCATGTTCAAACCAGAATATCTGCCTCCCATATATATGATAATTCTGTTGTCAGAGACCATGAGGCTGCACATTTTCCTCCACCCCACCATCTCAGCTGCAGCTTTCACTAGTTCTCCCCACACCAAACAGCTATTTGTCACTTACGTGGAAACCCTGCTTGTCTCATGAGCTTCTTTTTGGAAAGAACTTTCATTGCCTGCAAAACAGTTAATATGTACACAGATTCTGCTGCTGCTACTGCAAAGAACTCATGTGTGTAGGCTGAAACCTCACTTGTGGAGCAGGCACTGGACCTCTGTGCTAAGCCAAAGGGGCCTGGTGAAGGGGATGAGAAAGCAGCTCAGACCTCATCCTCTGGGACAAATAAATGTTTTTGATTCATCTTTAGATGCACAGAGGAGACCTTGTTCTGCTCACATATTGCATCTTTAGTGGCAGCTCCCCCATGATATCCCTAATATTTTCCCCTCTCATGTCTGCCTGTATCTTCTCTCCTCACATCCCAGAACCTTCCCCACCCTTCCCCCAGCGTCTGGTCTTCTCACCATGTTCACCCACCTATCTTGCTCTTGCTTGGTGCCTTTGGGCCATCTGAGAAACATTACTCCCACTCTGCATCAGCTAGCTAAGCATCACTACTCCCAGGCAAGTTGATGTAGGAGCAAAGAATGTGGAAAAACACAGATGTGGAAGCTGCAGGATTGCTGTCTACCAGACAAAGGAGGCAGCAACCGGTGGCAGTGCTGTTTGGTTGGTTACTGCTATTAGATCTGGTGCCCAGCCCAGGAAAGCTAGAAAGGTGAGGGTCATATCTGGGAGCTCGAGAGCAGGTTGGAAGGCTCAGACTCCATCTAGAAGCTGAAGAGGAGGCCGATCCATCCCCTACATCCACCACTAGATTAAGCTCCACCCGAGAATCTTTCCTAATGATACTCACATAGTAAGTGTTGTCATCTTCATTGTATGCCAGCTTCACAACTCCATAGGAACCCTAGAAAAATTCATTAGCCACAAATTACCGACTAGGGACAGCCAGAGAAATATTAGCCACCATGGCTCCCACTACAGGTGAAACATTAAGTTGCTTTCTGGCCTCCTTTGTAGGCCTTCACGTTCACAATGACTGAGGGGCCCCTCTCTCTGCTCCAGAGGTGGTTCCCAACTGAGCTGAGCAGGGCAGAGAACATTTCCACTCAAACTGCCCACTAGCGATACAAACACAGCTAGCCCCTCATGTGCTAATGCAGACAGGTCACCTGAGAGTCCAGACATACCAGCAGCCATCTTGGGGGACACTGCTGAGCAGGGAATCCTCAGAGGTGCTGGCCAAGCTACTAAAATTCTGTTAGTGGGTAACAGAATGGGGCTGGATCACCTTCCTGCACGGGAAACTATATCTGTGTTGTTTCATTGGTCTAGAAATCAACCTTTTTGCACAACTGAACACTGCTGTAATGACACAAAGTAGCAGGGGTGGGGACATATAATGGAGTATATGTGTGAGCTGACTAAGGATAGGAGAAATTAAAATGCCCTCCACACTGAAACTCCTAGCCGCATGCTCATATGCCAAATTTGTACTCACCTTTCCAATTTCATCTTTCAATTTATATTGATTAAGCTGCACACAGTCCTATGGAAGGAGGAAAAAGAAATCTGACATGAAGTAGTGGCATTACGTGATTGTTTTTGTTTTTACTGGCATTGTTTGTTTGTTTTTCTCCCCACAGGTAGAAGAAATGCATTATTCATAGACGGAGCTCCAAAAAAGCTCGAGACATCAGAAGCATTAGAGTCAATTAAATGGAGAGAGAGAAAAGACAATCCTGAAGCAGTAACAACCTCTTAAATCACAGATGCAATATTCTTCAAACAATAAATGTCATCTTTTACTCTGCAGATTACTGTGCTTGTTAGGTAATGCAAATCCATTCAGATTGTAGCTATAATGTTTGATTTCATTAGCAATAAATGACAGTCATTTGCCAAGACTGGGAATTTCTACACATGGCTAATTACTGACATTCAAGTGATTCTACTCAATAAGAGTCACTCACATGAAATAGGTGTATAAAGATCAGCTGAACTTAACAAGTTATAAACCTATCAGAGTGCTCCATACCCTTGGAAGCAGTGGAAAGTTTAGTTCTCAACCAACAGCTAGTGACTAACTTCCAAAAACCTTTTTATTAGGTCTAAAGCAGTGTCTGGCAGACATTTACTGCCTGTTCGGTGTTAGAGAGAACAGGTCCTGGGCATGCAAGACAGTTAGTCTGCTTACTGTTTCAGAGAGTGTTTTTTTACATTCACACTTTCCATACACTGAGCTGAAGATCAAGTCCACCCACCTTTAAACATTGTTTCAAACACCAGTAAGCCTTGCATTTTGCTGTCTTTTTACCATAATTAACAGCTAGTTAATTATACATGAAGAACCCAAACCAGTTACGTTACCACATCTATCAATATGACGTATATTGCTCAGAGGTGGGGAAAAAACACCCCCTTGAGCAACATCAGTTACACTGACAGAAGCACCAGTATGGACAGTGTTATGTTGGTGGGTGAAGCTCTTCTAGAGTCATAGCAACCCACCATTTTTTGGAGGTGGTTTTATTGTGTTAATGGGAAAATACTCTCTCCACCAAAGGTGTGTCCACACAGCAGGGCTAAACTCAAAATCATCTACACAAACTGAACTACAGGCAGTCCCCAGGTTACATGGATCCGACTTACATCGTATCCCTACTTACAAAAGGGGTGAGGCAACCCCGCACTAGCTGCTTTCCCCCAGCAGACCAGGGAGACGCGAAGCTAGCGCCCCCCTCCCCCAGCAGACCAGGCAGACACGGAGCGGCTTTTCTCAGCAGACACCTCAGCTTGAGAATAAAGGACTGAGGGAAGTGAGGTGTGGGAGAATAAAACTGAGCTCTGGAGAAATGTTTGGCTAGAGTTTCCCCTACAATATGTACCAGTTCCGACTTACATACAAATTCAACTTAAGAACAAACCTACAGTCCCTATCTTGTACGCAACCCGGGGACTGCCTGTACTCTGATAGTGTAGCTTAAATTGAAATAGCTTATTTTAAAATTGGGCACATCTACACAGCACTTATTCTGAAACAGAGCACTATTCCTCTGACTTCCCTTACTTCTCATACAATGAAATTTACAGACCTCAGAATAAGAAGCCCGTTATTTCAAATTTATTCTGAAGTAACACTGCTGTGTAGATGTACTATGGATGTTAAATATAGTTTAATCAACTAGTCAATGGATTTTCCATCATCTAGTCAATTAGCTGATAAGCAGGGGAGCTCCCAGTCCCCGCAGCTAACCCCACTGTGGCTCTGCCTTATAAATGTATTAAGAACCAGCAGGCTCTTAATACATTTAAAAGGCTGAAGTGCAGCAGAGGGAACCCACTGAGAGCCGGAACAGCTGACTGCTGGCTCACGCTGGGTCCCCCCTGCTGAGCTTCTGATTTTTAAATGTATTAAGAGCCTATGGCTCTTAATACATTTAAAGGGCTAAAGCGCAGGAGGGGAGACCCAGCATGAGCTGGTAATCAACTGGCCCAGCTCATGCTGGGTCCCCCCTGCTGTGCTTCTGATTTTTAAATGTATTAAGAGCTGTCTCTTAATACATTTAAAAAGAAGAGTCACAGTGTGTGGGACTGGGCACGAGTTGGGAATCAGTTGATTCCCAGCTCATGCTCAGTCCCCGCTACTCCCCTCCCCACCAGCACCATCTCCTGCTCCCCTCACCTCTGTTGCCTCTACTAGAGGCAGTGGATGGGGAGAAGCAACCAATTGAGGAATATAAGCTTTTGCCATTGAAAAGTCAAGTAGTCACTTACATCCCTCAGACCTACTCTGACATAACTACATGAATGCTTTTATAATGGCACAGCTGTGTCACTATAGCTGTCCTGCTATAAACTCACTAGTGTAGACCTGGCCTTAGTTATGACTGATTGCTCACAGGTTATGACTCCAATTTGAACCCTTTCATGAAATGCCTTCCCCTGAAAAAGCACAAAAGGCACAATTTGAGGCACTCAGCTTTTGAAAAGTTTGAATCAAGTTTACTTACTTATGGAGATATACCTATCTCATAGAGCCGGAAGGGACCTTGAGAGGTCATTGAGTCCAGTCCCCTGCCTTCAGGGCAGGACTAAGTACCATCCCTGACAGATTTGCCCCAGATGCCTAAATGGCCCCCCTCAAGGACTGAGCTCACAACCCTGGGTTTAGCAGGCCAATGTGCAAACCACTGATCTACCCCTCTCCCCAATCATGCAAAGCACTGAGAAATGTATGGAAGTCCAAGTCCCTGCTCCCATGAGCATCAATGGAAAAAGTCCCATTAATAAGCAATGTGATTGCATGGGGCCATTATTGACTTCATTGGAAGTGTCAGAGTGACCAGCACCTTGCAACACAACATGTTGTATTGTGAGCATCTGATTATTCTGTGTTGCTGTTTTTCAGAAGCCATGACTACACTTTGCTATTTCAGGTACAAGGGGAAGAGTCCCATGCCAGCCCTGAAAGAGATATTGCTGGGAAGATGTCTCTTTTTAAACTCACTGACCATCCACTGTATAAAGCATGCAGAGATTTATTGCCAGAAGAGGAATGTCATTAGCATAAATGAATCTTCTTTTCATATATATAATTAAGCGAGAATGGGCTGGAGGTATTAATTCCACCCACCTCTCTTTTTAATCAGCTGCTTTTGTCAGAGATCACAGAACTCCTTATACAGATTCCTAAAGAGTCTCTCATTTCTCCGCCTCTCCCATTCCCCACTTTGTGGTACTGTAGACTGTGATAAATACTGCCATGCTTCCATTACATAGCCACACACGCACAGACCGGGAAGAACCTTAGCTAGGGGGAGTGAGAGCAGTTACTCAGGATTCTCCCCACATCCTAGTTCCATAGAGAAACTCACCATACACAAATGAGTTGTAATACCTGTAACAGGGGCTATGTTCACAGAAAGAGAAGCCAATACGTCCTGCTTCAGAGTAGTATGATCTAGTGCAGAGCTGGATGCCAGAAACTCCTGAGTTCTACTCAGAGCTGGGATCAAACTTTCCCACAGTAGCACATGGACAAATCACTTCACCTCATAGCCCCTATGACAGATATGGCAATTCCCTGAAAGATTTTACTACATTAAAAATATGCATCAATATGGGCCATGGACTGTTTATAATTCCATGGGGACAGGTGACCATGTGTCATCCAAGAATTAAGAACAAAGTGGTGGTGGTGGTGGGGATGTTTGGACAAATTCACTTGCATTCTAACACTTTCTGAGAAGTACCACCACCTGCACAGGTGGCACAGACTAGTTCAAACTGGATTCTCCAGGGTCCAAACAGGACTTTTGGATAAATAGCCTGAGTTTAAATGGACTTGGGGCCTGCTTTCTGATTCAGGAAATGGATAAGCCCTTGTGTCCAAGGAGAACCCAAGTCCATCTAAATACGGGCTATTTATCCAAAAGTCATTTCTTTGTCTCTTGGACCCTGGAGAATCCAGTTTGAACTAATCTACGCTGCCTTTGCAGGCGGTGGTACTTCTCAGAAGGTGTTACTGTTTTCTTATAAAGATCTGTGTGATAACTCACAACTTCTGGCATGAGTAGCTGAAGGATACATTGTTGAGAGCCACTGGAGAGAAAGCAAGCACAGATGCTGGCTGGGTTAGGCCATCTGGCTTGCTGGAGAAAGTGCAGGCAGGGGACTGTGCAGCCTGGAACAATTAATCAAGAGGAAGAGAGAGAGGGAAAATCCCCAGTCAGGAAGTCTCCACTTGCAAGGGGTGAAGCGTTTCTATAGGTGGCACACATCTTCACATCCCTTACTGCACATAACAATTGTTCTTCACATGGATGGAAAAAATTAGAGGCATCACTGGCTACACCCTGTTTTAAATTTTTTTTCAAGTGATTAAAACAGTGTATCATAAAGAGGACCCCTGAATAAATAAGAGGTTATGTCAAAAAGCAATCCACTAAAGCATCCTGAACCAAGGAGACTGCAGAAGTAGTAACTGATCTATAGTCAGGAAAGCTGCACATATCACAAAACTGCAGAGTCTGTGCCAAAATACAACAACACGGGATATCTTTCCTTACCTGAAAACCTGTAATAGAAACTTTATTTGATTCCACCGTCGGTCTCCGGGGCAACCGAGGAGAAGAATGTGGAGATGTCACTGGAGAGTAAGGGAGAGATGGATAAATGTAATGTTCATTCACACCTGCATTGCTACCGGGTCACTGGGATGACTGTGATCTTTCCTGATGAGATAGTTTTCAACTTGAAAGATTCAGCTTGGCTCTTGGCTCCCTTGTCACCTCTAAAGCACCAGGAACACGCTGCCCTGCAATACCCTTCCAATCAGACACCAACATCTCTTCTCTGCAGCATTCCATGTGCTCATCTTCCCCCTGGCCTCCCTGTTTGCCCCACCCCCACTCCTCACCTGAGGCATCAGTCGAGTCATACTCTGTCACCACAATGACAGACTCCATGCCAGCGGTCAGTGACGACAAACGACACAGAAAGTCAGGTGCCTTCCTGCACTCACTGCGTGGTTCATCATAACAAATGCATCTCTCAGTGGCAGGTCTGCTAGGAACACATGATGGCATGATGCACTGGCCGGCTTCATCCCAACTGATGGCATAGCTCCATCAGTAACCTAAAAGCATAAGAAACAGCAGCAACTTTATTATGTGATTGCTATTGACCATGCATCACTCATAAGTGTGTTTAAAGACAAGGGTACCGTTAGCTGGATGTTTAGCTGATCTAGCAATTTGTTGGAAAGTCAGTAATTCTTCTGGCATTGGTCACTTTTGAGAATTATTCACTAATCATCCAAGAAGCACCAAACAGTTGGCAATTTGATAGGTGGCAGTTTTATATCCAAGGCAGTAGTGATCCAGTTTATTCCTATTAATGTTAGCAAAGATGGGGCCAAGTCAAATTTCAAGGTTTTGGGTTCAGATCAGAGTTTACAGCCACATGCAGTCTTTGTTATGTGCTAAATACTAACATCCCTGACATCTAGGAAAGTTTAGATTCAGATCTGGATTTCAACCCCAAGCTCTGGAGTGTCTGGATCTGGGGTACAGAGAACACAAATTTTAGATGTAAGGTTTGGGACGCTTCTTTTCTCTGGAGAGCTCTGAGCATATTTGATGTGTTACACAAATAAAGTCTCTGCTCCCAAAGTGGCAATCCAAATCCAACAGTCAAAGAAAAGAACCACGATGAAGATGGGGTAGGATGGGGTGGGTTAAGCAAGGGTTAGAAATAAGAATTATGTTATTAGTTTTGTGCCTGTCCACAGGCAGCTTGCTAGGTCTGTTGGTTTTTTTTTTTTTTTAAATAAGATCAGGCTTCAGAACAGGAGAAAACAGCTTTGGAATTGGAGTCACATGGGGTCATTAAAGGTCCCATGGCACTTCTGTAACAGCAGATGTCCTCACCCAGTTCTAATTCAATGAACAATTAGATGCTATTTCCCTAAGTGCCCCTTGCACTGGCCATTAAACACACTGGTCTTCTTCACTTTCTGACACACTGCTGGATGGTATGGCTGGGAGTTCTTAAATAGCTACTGCAACCAACCAATAGCGGCATTTAAAATCCCAGTTATGGATAAATCACCTGTTTTATGCATTCCCTCCTACCTTGCTAATTCAGAAAGGTCTGATGAAGATCAAGTAGAAATGAAGCAAAATGCAGGACAATGTAGCACTTTAAAGACTAACAAGATGGTTTATTAGATGATGAGCTTCGTGGGCCAGACCCACTTCCTCAGATCAAATATTTGATCTGAGGAAGTGGGTCTGGCCCACGAAGCTCATCATCTAATAAACCATCTTGTTAGTCTTCAAAGTGCTACATAGTCCTGTATTTTGTTACTTATGTTGCAGAGACAAGGTGAGGCTGAGCATCGGCAATGTGCTTTGAAAACCTTGAATAAGACATCCAGGCTGCGTCTAGACTGGCATGATTTTCCGGAAATGCTTTTAATGGAAAAGTTTTCCATTAAAAGCATTTTTGGAACAGAGCATCTAGATTGGCATGGACGCTTTTCCGCAAAAGCACTTTTTGTGGAAAAGCGTCCGTGCCAATCTAGACGCGCTTTTCCGCAAAAAAGCCCCGATCACCATTTTCGCGATTGGGGCTTTTTTGCGGAAAACAAATCTGAGCTGTCTACACTGGCTCTTTTGCGCAAAAGCTTTGTGCAAAAGGGACTTTTGCCTGAACGGGAGCAGAATAGTATTTCCACATGAAGCACTGATTTCTTACACTAGGAAGTTAGTGTTCTTGCAGAAATTCAAGTGGCCAGTGTAGACAGCTGGCAAGTTTTTCCGGAAAAACTGGCTAGTCTAGACACAGCCGTAAAGTACTCCTGAAGTTTGGATTATTATTATTAGGATGTTATTTAATGCTGATACTCCACTATTGGCACAACAGGGTAAAAGCAAAGACGAGGCATAAATATTTGGCTATGACTCTCTCTCATAAGTGACTCTCATAAAGCAGAAAAGGAATTGTTTAGAAAGTAACATTCCTTTTACTCTAACCTATATATACAATCCTGAGCAGCAGTAGCAGCAAGTTCTTCAAGAAAAGCCATACACTCCAGGTATGATCCTGTTCACATTCATGGGGAGTTCTGTCCCCAACTTCAAAAGGGCCAGGATCAGGCCCTCTGCTCTCAGATGCATAACTGCAACTACAATCAATATTAGGGATGTTACATTTCAATTAATCAGCTAATCGAGTAGTCAATGGAATTTCCATCAACTACTCAACTAGTCGATAAGAGGGGAGGAGAGGCACTTGCCATCCCTGCTGTGCCTCTGCCTTTGAAATGTAGCAAGAGCTGGCCATGGCTCTTCCTACATTTCAAAGGCAGAGGCACAGGGCCTGATCCGGGGCAAATGGGGACTGCTTCATGGGCACAAGCAGAGGCAGCCGGATCTCCCACTGCACCTCTGCCTCCCCTGTCCTCCCACAGAGACGGTGCTGGGGGGACCAGCATTTAAACCAACTCTCCCCATCACCGGTTCCTGCTACTCCCACACTGGTGCCTCTGAGAGAGGCAGTAAGGTGGAGGGGGAAGTGACTAGTCAAGGGCTTATCAGGCAGTCGACTACTAATCAATATCAGTGGATGTTGCTGAATATTGTTTGTATTCCACTACAGGATGAACCTCTCTAGTCTGGCACTCTCTGGTCCATCATGATTTTAGTTAGCTGAATGTCCATTTATTGTGGGTATGATCAAGTTTCCCACAGTCCCACAAAATCTGTTTACAGCCACCAGTCCTGGCTTTCAGTGTTCTGTGCTGTTATTTAGTTCTAAAATATCCCTAAATGTCTTTTAAGACAGTGGTTCCCAACCTTTTTCATACGGCGGACCTGTAAACCCATTCACAAACTTTTGGAGGAATGGTAATATGCAAATAATGAATATGCAAAAATGCTTTTGGTTCACCAAAAGCCCTGGCCCCCAGAGCCACTGCAAACAGCTGGCTTCAGCTCCAGCAGTTACCACATTGCAGATGTCTGCCACAGCTCAAGGCAGCTGTTTGTGGCGGCTCTGGGGGCTGGGGTACACCCCAACCCCCTGAACCTCCCAGTGCCAGCC